TGTTTTGTAATAACTACTTCTTTGAAATAAGAAAAAAAATCAAATAAAGATTTCTATTTAATTCAAATCACCCATTTTTCTGGGTGTACTTCATTATTGAAAAATTCTCAGTGCTGCGTGATGTGAGGAGATACCAACAAAATCCCTGTTTCATCGAAGAAAAAAATTTCCATAAAAACGAGATCACCAGAAAATCTTTTTGTGGAATAAAATTCCTTATGTGGAGAAAATTTTCCATAAAAAGAGGTTCTGCTGATGCCTTTTTTTACAGGGGATTTACATACCAGAGAAAATTTTTCATAAAGTTTCTGATGACCCATTTTTACTGCAAAATTTTTTTATAAGGGAGAAAATTTGTTATGAAAAGTTGTTCTGACGACTCTTCTGTTATGAAAATTTTTTTCCAGCTGTATAGACCGGCTGGTTTGTTCCGGACTAATAATAAAAAAATGTCTCTCCTAACAAAAGTTATATTTTATACTGCTACTTCATTATTGAAAAATTCTCAGTTCTGTGTGTTGCGAGGAGAGACCAACAAAATCCCTGTTTCATCAAAGAAAAAAAAATCCATTGAAACGAGATCACCAGAAAAGCCTTTTATAGAATAAAATGCCTTTTGTGGAGAAAATTTTCCATAAAAAGAGGTGCTGTCGATCCCTTTTTCATGGGCATATACATAGGAGAGAAAATTTATTATGAAAAGATTTTCTGACAACTCCTCTTTTATGAAACAATTTCATCAGCTATATAAACTAACTAGTTAGTTCCTGAATAATAATAAAAAATATTCCCTCCTATAAAAAAGGTTTTTCCACATTCTCCGTAAAACATTTCATTCCCAAGATAATCATCCAATTATCCACGCTTCCATATTCATCCCAACGCACTGCACCCCGTCTTTACTGACTACCCCGCTTTGAATTGTTTATATCATGGAAAATCACGGGGAAATACGACATACGTACCGGCACCTCATGATTCACACCCGGTTTAACCCAAGGAGTATATTGATCCACGTACGAACTACGTATCGGGGTATTTTCCAAGCTAGAAACTCACGTTTTCATAAACACACGGAATAACGAACAAGTCGAGCAAACTTTTCATGCATTTCATAAACTTCATAACAATTTACAAAATTCCCAAAAATTCTAATTAATTATACACTGACAGAAAAAATTAATTTTTTCAAGAGAATTTTACTTGAACCAACCATCACTTGGTTGTTAATTTTCAAATAAACATGATTTCGTAGTGAACACCAATTATCTCTTCTAGAGATACATTTGATTGGGAGAAATCAAACTTCTCTAGAATTGAAGTTCCTTTTATTGGTCGCAATAATGAGAAGATTTGATTTCTCTCTAGCCAACAGTTTGCTAACTCCAGAAATTCGTTGGTTTACTCAAAAATCAAAATTATTCGCTTGACTAAATACGTTGTTATCTCAATCAACACGGTCATACGTCATTCCAAGTAAATTATAATTGAAGTGAGCATTTCGTACGTCGAATCAGGATGAATATTGTTACGTGGAAAAAGCTTTGAGATTGAAGTAAGATGTCGTTGAGTTGACAGAAGTTTATATTTCTTTACTAAAAAAAATCGCATTCGTTTACAATATCACAAATTTCGTTCAATGTGATGTACGGAAAGCTCAATTTGAACATCGACTTCATTCGAGAAAACAACATTCAATCCATTCCTCAATGTAATCATCTTCTTCGTACGATTTTTTTATCAATTCATGGAAGTAGAAAATTTCTTGACTGGAGATTATATTAAGACATAGGACTTGACGCCAAGGACTGTTTTATTTGATTCAAGTAAATGTATCTCAAGAAGAAATAATTGATATCCACGGTAAGATCGTATTTATTTGAAATTGGTTCAAGTATATAATACTTGTTTCAAGAAAGAAATATCTCAATAAAAATAATTTTTTATCAGTGAAAGGCGTGGGCTTGACCGTTGGAGGAGAGGAACTGCGATATAGCAAAAGTGCCACGTGTGCAATCTCCATTTTGCGGCTCTTTCTTCCATCAAGAGTTTTAAACAATCGGTTATTGATGTAATTAAGGTGACTCATTTTGAAGTAGGTCGCAACGTACGACTGATCATCCTGGTTTTTGCACTGCATACGGACGTATTAAAGTTAATGGCGGCGATGAATGTAGGCAATACCCCGCAGAACCACCAGGTTAAATTGATGTTGGGGGAAGTGATGATGCACGTTGCAACCCACAATTATTAGCCCATTTTTTGTTGGTCGGTTTGGTGGACTGAATATAGGTGGACGTCCACATGAAAAGGGCCCGCTTTGGCGATTTTAGTTGAGATATTCACGTTTTCGTCTCTGCAACTCTCATTTAAACGAATGTTAAACTATTTGCTTGATCTTCTATAGCGACGTTATTTTATACGCTATCGAGGCTATTTGGGCTTTAGGATATCCAAGTAGTTCGGGCAATTTTTTTCTGAGGGAAATCCTCCACAGAGTTTATAGAATAGGATTCTATTAAAATTCCAGAGAATTTTCGTTTAAATTCTATTTTTTTTTGCAGATTCTATTAGAAATTTGATTGGAAAATATCAATAGATTTCGATTTTTCTGTTTGAATTTTTCTCTTGAAATTTTTTCTATTAAAACATTTATCTAAAATACATCAAGATTCTCTTCACTTAGAAATTATTTTGAGCAAAGTATCGAAATGTAATAGAGATATTGACATCACAGAGACTATTTTGCAAATCATAATGAATTTTACAACGAGCTTCTTTGACATTCATGAAAATCCGATTTTCAGGTGAAATCGACATATTTTATGCTGCTACTTCATTATTTAAAAAATCTCAGTGCTGTATGATGTGAGGAGAGACCAGTAAAATCCCTTTTTCATCGAAGAAAAAAATTTCCGTAAAAACGAGATCACTAGAAAATCATTTTATGCAATAATTGTGGAGAAAATTTTCCATAAAAAGAGGTTCTGCTGATCCCTTTTTTACAGGGGAAAAAGTCAATAGATTTAGATTTTTCTGTTTGAAGTTTTCTCTTGAGATTTTTTCTATTAAAACTATTTAGCACGGATACTCCAAGTTTTTTCAACTTCAAAATTCAACTCAGTTCATAAGACACGGACACGTCGACGTACCCTCAAATCAATAACAACCTAAACAAGTACCCTTAAGGGGTAACAGAATGACGCCAATTTTCAAAATTTTTCAACAAATTTCCTGCCGAAAGTTATCGATGTTTTTACAAATCGAAGTACATTAATCTCCAGGAGGTGACGATGAAGATCAATGTGCTTTGGGTTCAAATAATATTAATAACTTTAAGCAGGAAATTTGTTTGAAAATTTCGAGGAAACGCGGCCTTCTGTTACCCCTTAAATGAAATTGTGCGTTAGGGGACGTTGCCGGAAACTCGCTAAACGCGTCCGGGTAGCGCAGAGTGAATTCGGCAACGCTGGAGTCTAATTAACATGGCGGCGAACCTCCACGGAGATGACCAAGTCGCCAGATCGCGTGCGGTGACTGGACTAGACTTAAAACAAGAAGAATCGCCTAATTCTAGACTGTGTTTTTGATCAATATCTTAATATCTTATTCGATGAAAGACAGGAAAATCTTCATGAAGAACTTATTTGAAGCTATGATTTAGCTCTACTTTTTTAGAACACCGCAATCACAGCTTCAAAAAAGGAATGAAATTTTGCCATCTCCATACGTCCCAGTACATTTTAAACAAACCTGATCGTCAAGTGATGTTTACTCATCCTGTTTAACCACTTCACTACTGATTTTATCCTGGAAGCACTCGCTTCCGTGATAATTGCATAATTTATAAAGCTCTCGTGTTGGCTTGAACTGCCAATCCACTTCACTACTGAACTCAATATCTGTGGCGTGTTTTACTCGAAAGTTGATTTCCCGGAAAGGTGAAGATGAGGATTGATCTATAATTCAGCTGACACTGCTGAACTTTTCAGATTTGACTCCAATACAGAGAGAATATTTTTTATAAGTTGGGATATGCATGGAGAAAAAATATTCTGTCAATCAATCAAATTTGTTTCGGACAAACTAATGTCCAAAAATTAAAAAATGTAAGCTTACTTGGATTCCCATCTTCCGATTGATATTAATAGGAAATTAATTTATACACAAGGCATTTTTAAATCTTATAGACATACATGATGCATGCTGTGGAAAAAATGAGGATTTTTAGATTGTTCAATTCAATTTTCAATGGAAATTGATCGCTAATGGACCATGTCTTGACCATAAGGTAACCGGGCGCTCATTTGAATTTACTGCGCTGCGCGCAATTAGATTTAGGCGACGTGCGCTTTAATGGGACCGAGCAAGTCAGTCAGCTGACTGTCTGGGATGATTGACGATGGGAAAAACTTTTACCATTATTTGCATAAAAAATAGGAAGTGTGCATAGCTTCCCGCGTCGAATTTGTAGATTATTACTTTCTCTACAAATTGGTACTTTTTCCTCGATTCGTTGAGTTGAAGTGAAATTGTCATTGTTTCCGGCATTGAGAGGTGAATTTTCAATCTCTCTATATTATAAAAATCCAAAGCTACTTCTGGTGATAACAATTTGGTACTCGAAATTCAATGTCATAATGGTCAGAATAAGGGTCACGAGGATCAGAATAAGCGTCACGAAAGTCAGAATAAGGGTCACGAGGGTTGGTTTAAGGGCCACAGAGGTCAGATTAAGGGTCACAAGGATCAGATTAGGGGTCACAAGTGTCAGATTAAGGGTTACAGGGGTCAGAATGAGGATTGTGGGGGTCATATGTGGGTTGGCGAGCGGAGCGAGCACGGGGCGTAACCCCCTAGTTGTTTTTAATGAATTAACTATATTTACGGACATTTTTGGGAATGCATGTTTTGATATGTTAATCAGGACAATTTTCTAAACGCTTCAAAGTCTAAATTGAGTGAACTAAAATCAGGAAAATAAATTTCTCTTGTTGCAGGGAATGTGTGACATGTTTATCCAAACTCAGCAAACGAGCAGCGTCAACAGCAGCAGCAGCAGTAGCAGCAGCAGCAGTAGTAACAATACCGCTCATCATCACAGTAAAAAACGTAAATTGGATTATAATGTTTGTCAACCAGTGATCCAACACTCATTGGTACAATCGAGCGGCGATTACCAATTGGATAATACTGGACTACAGCGTTACTCTGTGACTGGTACTAACGCCGGATTCGGCACGCTGCAGAATAATGGGCTGCAGAAGAGTCCGAATCAGCAGACCCTGGTGCGTGCATCCACTATCAAACTTTTAGACACGTATCAACGGTGCGGACAGAAGGTACACATTATTCGTTTATAACTTAGGCATGTCTTGTTTGTCTTGCAACGCAGAGAAAAAAGTTTCTGATTTATAGTAGCAGTTTCTGAATTCCCGTGGAATATCTCTGAGAATGAGAGAAAAAGTTCTAGTTTTCACGCAGAGACCTTATCAATTTTTCAAGTGTCAGACGCAGAGATTTTATAAAGCATCAAATAAATTCAAAGAGAATTAGAAGTTGAGAAAAATTTAAGTTGATCTGTTCAGAAATGCAATCTTTCGGACGCTAAATCATCAATTTTCAGCCGCATTTTTGTGAAAAAAGATTTTCTGAGGTAGGAGCCATCGATCTTTTGTTTTTGAGTTGCAACTATTTGACATTTATTTGGTCCGGTGGGTCTCTAGGAAGCTATTAGCAATGGGAGAAAGATTTAAAACGATTCGTTTAGGAATGTCAGTGATCTTTTGGACACTAAATCATGAATTTTTAGACACATTTTTGTAAAAAAAGAGCTTCCGACGTAGGAATCATCGACTTTTTGCTTTTGGGCAACTATTTGGGATTTGTTTGGTCCGGTGGGTGTCTAGGAAGCTATTAGCAACGGGGGAAAGATTAAGGACGATCTGTTTAGAAATGTCGGCAATCTTTTGGAGGCCAAATCATCAACTTGTAGCCACATTTTTGTAAAGACAATCTTCTGACGTAGGAATCATCGACCTTTTACTTTTGAACACCAACTATTCCCGATTTATTTGGTCAGGTGGGCCTCTAGGAAGCTACTAGCATCAGAAGAAAGATTAAGGACGGTCTGTTTAGAAATGTCGGCAATCTTTCGGAGCTAAATAATGAATTTCTAGCCACTTTTTTGTAAAAAAGAGCTTATGATGTAGAAATCATCACCCTTTTGCTTTTGAGCTGTAACTCTTTGGTATTTGTTTCATCCGGTGGGTCTCTAGGAAGCTATTAGGAATGTTAGAAACATTAAAAACGATCTGTATAGAAATATCGGCAATCTTTTCAACACCAAATCATCAACTTTTAGCCATATTTATGTAAAGAAGCGCTTCTGACGTAGGAATCATCGACCTTTTGGTTGTGAGCAACAGCCATTTAGCATTTGTTTGGTCCGGTGGGTCTCTAAGAATTATTACCAATAGGAGAAAAGTTAAAGACGGTCCGTTTAGAAATGTCGCTGAACTTTAAATGTGCAATCATCAATTTTTAGCCGATTTTTCTCAAAAACCAGGCTCTGACGTCGGAATCATCAACGTCTTGTTTTTGTATCCCAACTATTCGGCATTAACTTAATCCAATGGATCTCTAGAAAGCTATTATCAACGGGACAAAGATTTGAGGCCGTGTCGCTCGCATTTTGCGTGCTACACAGGATCTGAGTACCACATTATCAGATCTCTGCGAATTTCCTCTCCTCTCCAATGTCGTGACGCAACATTTGAATGCCCCCAATGGTTCTTATTTTAAAAAGTCAGGCTTCTTGATTTCAATACCGTAGTACTGAAAGCCAAAAACTTTTTTCCTCTGAACAGTAGAAAATTCTTGCACGATTGAAACATTCGATGGTCACAGTGGACTATCGATAAGGCACCATCATGCAAATATCGTAAAAACGAAGACGGTGAATTTCTATTTAGGAGCAGATACAGATAAATAACAAAAGAATCAGTGTAATACTCAGCACAATCGTTCACGTGTGGCTATGTATCTCTCATAGCTCTATGATAACACTTCTCTGTGGCGTCACGTTGACTATCGATTACACTCAAGGCTTTGTTTTCATATTTCATGCCAGACACACGGTGATACCGTCTTTCGATGGTGCTCTCATCGATAACCACCAGATTCTGAACGTAGAGACATCGTTTCCACGAAATTTAGAAGGATTGATGCACAAAACCAATGACTTATTTAGTCAATTTTGCTCTGACTTTAGTTTCTTTGAAATATCTTTGGTTCCATCGGAGATAGCGAAATGAAAAAAAAAATCGGGACCATGAATAAACGCATCCACGTAAAATTATAGTTGCACCAAAGATACAGCTTACAGATTTTTTTTGGCCGTGACTATTCGCACTACACGCCACGCATGCGTGAAGTTTGTGTGTTTCACGCAGCCGAATTTTCATACTGCTGTGTATTTCACGCAGTTGAAGTTTCATACTACTGTGTGTTTCACGCAGTTGAAGTTACATACTACTGTGTGTTTCACGCAGTTGAAGTTACATACTACTGTGTGTTTCACGCAGTTGAAGTTACATACTACTGTGTGTTTCACGCAGTTGAAGTTACATACTACTGTGTGTTTCACGCAGTTGAAGTTACATACTACTGTGTGTTTCACGCAGTTGAAGTTACATACTACTGTGTGTTTCACGCAGTTGAAGTTACATACTACTGTGTGTTTCACGCAGTTGAAGTTACATACTACTGTGTGTTTCACGCAGTTGAAGTTACATACTACTGTGTGTTTCACGCAGTTGAAGTTACATACTACTGTGTGTTTCACGCAGTTGAAGTTACATACTACTGTGTGTTTCACGCAGTTGAAGTTACATACTACTGTGTGTTTCACGCAGTTGAAGTTACATACTACTGTGTGTTTCACGCAGTTGAAGTTACATACTACTGTGTGTTTCACGCAGTTGAAGTTACATACTACTGTGTGTTTCACGCAGTTGAAGTTACATACTACTGTGTGTTTCACGCAGTTGAAGTTACATACTACTGTGTGTTTCACGCAGTTGAAGTTACATACTACTGTGTGTTTCACGCAGTTGAAGTTACATACTACTGTGTGTTTCACGCAGTTGAAGTTACATACTACTGTGTGTTTCACGCAGTTGAAGTTACATACTACTGTGTGTTTCACGCAGTTGAAGTTACATACTACTGTGTGTTTCACGCAGTTGAAGTTACATACTACTGTGTGTTTCACGCAGTTGAAGTTACATACTACTGTGTGTTTCACGCAGTTGAAGTTACATACTACTGTGTGTTTCACGCAGTTGAAGTTACATACTACTGTGTGTTTCACGCAGTTGAAGTTACATACTACTGTGTGTTTCACGCAGTTGAAGTTACATACTACTGTGTGTTTCACGCAGTTGAAGTTACATACTACTGTGTGTTTCACGCAGTTGAAGTTACATACTACTGTGTGTTTCACGCAGTTGAAGTTACATACTACTGTGTGTTTCACGCAGTTGAAGTTACATACTACTGTGTGTTTCACGCAGTTGAAGTTACATACTACTGTGTGTTTCACGCAGTTGAAGTTACATACTACTGTGTGTTTCACGCAGTTGAAGTTACATACTACTGTGTGTTTCACGCAGTTGAAGTTACATACTACTGTGTGTTTCACGCAGTTGAAGTTACATACTACTGTGTGTTTCACGCAGTTGAAGTTACATACTACTGTGTGTTTCACGCAGTTGAAGTTACATACTACTGTGTGTTTCACGCAGTTGAAGTTACATACTACTGTGTGTTTCACGCAGTTGAAGTTACATACTACTGTGTGTTTCACGCAGTTGAAGTTACATACTACTGTGTGTTTCACGCAGTTGAAGTTACATACTACTGTGTGTTTCACGCAGTTGAAGTTACATACTACTGTGTGTTTCACGCAGTTGAAGTTACATACTACTGTGTGTTTCACGCAGTTGAAGTTACATACTACTGTGTGTTTCACGCAGTTGAAGTTACATACTACTGTGTGTTTCACGCAGTTGAAGTTACATACTACTGTGTGTTTCACGCAGTTGAAGTTACATACTACTGTGTGTTTCACGCAGTTGAAGTTACATACTACTGTGTGTTTCACGCAGTTGAAGTTACATACTACTGTGTGTTTCACGCAGTTGAAGTTACATACTACTGTGTGTTTCACGCAGTTGAAGTTACATACTACTGTGTGTTTCACGCAGTTGAAGTTACATACTACTGTGTGTTTCACGCAGTTGAAGTTACATACTACTGTGTGTTTCACGCAGTTGAAGTTACATACTACTGTGTGTTTCACGCAGTTGAAGTTACATACTACTGTGTGTTTCACGCAGTTGAAGTTACATACTACTGTGTGTTTCACGCAGTTGAAGTTACATACTACTGTGTGTTTCACGCAGTTGAAGTTACATACTACTGTGTGTTTCACGCAGTTGAAGTTACATACTACTGTGTGTTTCACGCAGTTGAAGTTACATACTACTGTGTGTTTCACGCAGTTGAAGTTACATACTACTGTGTGTTTCACGCAGTTGAAGTTACATACTACTGTGTGTTTCACGCAGTTGAAGTTACATACTACTGTGTGTTTCACGCAGTTGAAGTTACATACTACTGTGTGTTTCACGCAGTTGAAGTTACATACTACTGTGTGTTTCACGCAGTTGAAGTTACATACTACTGTGTGTTTCACGCAGTTGAAGTTACATACTACTGTGTGTTTCACGCAGTTGAAGTTACATACTACTGTGTGTTTCACGCAGTTGAAGTTACATACTACTGTGTGTTTCACGCAGTTGAAGTTACATACTACTGTGTGTTTCACGCAGTTGAAGTTACATACTACTGTGTGTTTCACGCAGTTGAAGTTACATACTACTGTGTGTTTCACGCAGTTGAAGTTACATACTACTGTGTGTTTCACGCAGTTGAAGTTACATACTACTGTGTGTTTCACGCAGTTGAAGTTACATACTACTGTGTGTTTCACGCAGTTGAAGTTACATACTACTGTGTGTTTCACGCAGTTGAAGTTACATACTACTGTGTGTTTCACGCAGTTGAAGTTACATACTACTGTGTGTTTCACGCAGTTGAAGTTACATACTACTGTGTGTTTCACGCAGTTGAAGTTACATACTACTGTGTGTTTCACGCAGTTGAAGTTACATACTACTGTGTGTTTCACGCAGTTGAAGTTACATACTACTGTGTGTTTCACGCAGTTGAAGTTACATACTACTGTGTGTTTCACGCAGTTGAAGTTACATACTACTGTGTGTTTCACGCAGTTGAAGTTACATACTACTGTGTGTTTCACGCAGTTGAAGTTACATACTACTGTGTGTTTCACGCAGTTGAAGTTACATACTACTGTGTGTTTCACGCAGTTGAAGTTACATACTACTGTGTGTTTCACGCAGTTGAAGTTACATACTACTGTGTGTTTCACGCAGTTGAAGTTACATACTACTGTGTGTTTCACGCAGTTGAAGTTACATACTACTGTGTGTTTCACGCAGTTGAAGTTACATACTACTGTGTGTTTCACGCAGTTGAAGTTACATACTACTGTGTGTTTCACGCAGTTGAAGTTACATACTACTGTGTGTTTCACGCAGTTGAAGTTACATACTACTGTGTGTTTCACGCAGTTGAAGTTACATACTACTGTGTGTTTCACGCAGTTGAAGTTACATACTACTGTGTGTTTCACGCAGTTGAAGTTACATACTACTGTGTGTTTCACGCAGTTGAAGTTACATACTACTGTGTGTTTCACGCAGTTGAAGTTACATACTACTGTGTGTTTCACGCAGTTGAAGTTACATACTACTGTGTGTTTCACGCAGTTGAAGTTACATACTACTGTGTGTTTCACGCAGTTGAAGTTACATACTACTGTGTGTTTCACGCAGTTGAAGTTACATACTACTGTGTGTTTCACGCAGTTGAAGTTACATACTACTGTGTGTTTCACGCAGTTGAAGTTACATACTACTGTGTGTTTCACGCAGTTGAAGTTACATACTACTGTGTGTTTCACGCAGTTGAAGTTACATACTACTGTGTGTTTCACGCAGTTGAAGTTACATACTACTGTGTGTTTCACGCAGTTGAAGTTACATACTACTGTGTGTTTCACGCAGTTGAAGTTACATACTACTGTGTGTTTCACGCAGTTGAAGTTACATACTACTGTGTGTTTCACGCAGTTGAAGTTACATACTACTGTGTGTTTCACGCAGTTGAAGTTACATACTACTGTGTGTTTCACGCAGTTGAAGTTACATACTACTGTGTGTTTCACGCAGTTGAAGTTACATACTACTGTGTGTTTCACGCAGTTGAAGTTACATACTACTGTGTGTTTCACGCAGTTGAAGTTACATACTACTGTGTGTTTCACGCAGTTGAAGTTACATACTACTGTGTGTTTCACGCAGTTGAAGTTACATACTACTGTGTGTTTCACGCAGTTGAAGTTACATACTACTGTGTGTTTCACGCAGTTGAAGTTACATACTACTGTGTGTTTCACGCAGTTGAAGTTACATACTACTGTGTGTTTCACGCAGTTGAAGTTACATACTACTGTGTGTTTCACGCAGTTGAAGTTACATACTACTGTGTGTTTCACGCAGTTGAAGTTACATACTACTGTGTGTTTCACGCAGTTGAAGTTACATACTACTGTGTGTTTCACGCAGTTGAAGTTACATACTACTGTGTGTTTCACGCAGTTGAAGTTACATACTACTGTGTGTTTCACGCAGTTGAAGTTACATACTACTGTGTGTTTCACGCAGTTGAAGTTTTATACTACTGTGTGTTTCACGCAGTTGTATTTTTATACACATGTGTGTTTCACATAGTTGTATTTTTATACACCCTCGTGTTTCACGCAGTTGTATTTTTATACACCGGTGTGTTTCACGCAGTCGTATTCAGATACTCCTGTGTATTTCACATTCCTGTGTGTATAAACGCACAGGTGTATAAAACTTCAACTGCGTGAAATACACAGGCATATCAAAATGCAACTGCGTGAAACACACAGGTGTATAAAAATACAACTGCGTGAAACACACAGTAGTATAAAACTTCAACTGCGTGAAACACACAGTAGTATGAAACTTCAACTGCGTGAAATACACAGCAGTATGAAAATTCGGCTGCGTGAAACCCACAAACTTCACGCATGCGTGGAGTGTATGGAGTGTACGGGAGTGATTCACGCAATGGTGCGAACAGTCACGGCCATTTTTTTCTCGTTTTCTTGCGGATTAATCAACGTAGAAACTTCTGGTTAATTCTAGACCTTTCAGTAAAATTCTTAAATCTTCTGGAGAATTCTAGAAATTTATTCATTTAATTATTTAAGAATTTCAGAATACACCCCCTAAGGGCAAATACAAGATTATTATATGATATAAACTTAAAAAAATCCATAAGGCATATTTAAAAAAACGTAGTATTACATTGTTTCAATTTACGTAAAAACCATTCGTGATTAGTCCTATTGTTCTATTATCACTTACATATCACTGTCCTTCAATTTAGTCAGTTTTGAAAAGATACAAAAGCTTTCTAGATTAAAGAAAATTTTGAGTTTTCCAAAAAAAAAAAAACGTAAATCTTGCGGTTCTCTAAAAAAATGAGGACCATCAATATATTCACGTAAAATAATAGTTGCATCAAAGATACAGGCACCTACGCATTTTCTTCTTGTTTTTTGTGGATTAATCAACGTAGAAACTTTGGGAAAATTTTAGAACTTTCAGCTGTAATACCTTCAAAATTATCGGACATTTTCCGAATGTTTTGTTGCATATGGTCCAACCAAAACTTCTTTTCTCGCATGAACTTAGTTTCAGATAACGAGTTTCCATGGTTTCTATTGTCAATTTGTTGATTTGTCAATGAAAACAATGGAAAACCTTTTTTCCAAAGAGAAAAGAAATTTTGGTCCGACTATAGCAACGAGAGGAATCAGTTTTGCAGATTAAAATTTCACTGCAGAATTGATCCCGATCGTTGATATGCAGGACAACTTGAGGGAAATATCCGATAAATTTTCAAGGTCGAGGGGTATTCGGAGTACAATTTCTTCAATTCTGATTTGGGCCGATCAGGGTGCGGTGTTAGGGGTTACGGGACACATTTCACCAAACAGATGAGGAATATCTACCAAATTCGTAGAAAACAATTAACAGGCTACAGGGAAATTATCAGTCTGATAATTTCCCTGCAGCCGGGGAAATTATCCGTGTGAAACGGGTCACGTGACCCCGAATGCTGCACTCTGATTGGTCAAAATCGGAATTGAGGAAATTGTCAGTAAAATTCTTAAATCTTCTGGAGAATTCTAGAGATTTATTTATTTAACCCCTCAAGGACGAGGTCCATATACGTATATGGAACCAAGCAAAAACGCATGATTTTGTTCAAAACTGGATAATTCCAAAACTGTGACAGATAATCCAGTTTCGCTCACGCCATTCGAAAGCTGGATAGTGTAGCTTCAATTTTTAATGCCTTTTATAATTTTGCATGCATCAGAATTTATCGAATCTCAGTGACATTAAGCGCACGTCAGGCTTCGTAACAGAAAGGCCCCGTACGCGAGGGGTTAATTATTTATTTATTTGAGCATTTTATCGATGATTTTTTCAAGATTATTACATTATATAAACCCAAAAAAGCCATAAGGTGTATAAAAAAGTAGTATTACATTGTTTCAATTTACGTAAAAAACATTCGCCATTAGTCCTATTGGTCTATTAGCGTTTAAATATCACTGTCCTTCAATTTTGTGAGTTTTGGAGCTGTCCCAAAAAAAATTGAGTAAATATGGCGGTTCTTTAACCCCTCACGTACGGGGTCGATCCATGGTATTGACCCATGCGAATATGAACGCTTGTTTTCAAAATTAATTATTTCCAAATCTATGAAGAATTACTTGCTCAAACAAAATTGGAACCCGGAATACTGTAGCTTCAATTAGATACCAGTTTCATAATTTTCCATTCATTAGAAATCATCGAATTCGAGTCGTATTGAGTACACACTATGCTTGGTAACAGGTCCCTGTCCGTGAGGGGTTTAAAAAAAACAAGACCAGTTTTTTCTCGTTTTCTTTGGATTAATCAACGAAGACCCTTCTGAAAAGTTCTAAAACTTTCAGTAAAATTCTTAAACCTCCTGGAGAATTCTAAAAATTTGATGAGTGTTGGCAAGATAAAAGGAAGGACTTTCTTTACATTAAAAATAACATTGAAGAAAATTTGGAGCTTTTCCAAAAAAATTTGAATAAATACGGCAGTCCTTAAAACAAAATCTAAATCATAAACGTATTCACGCAAAATTACAGTTGCCTCAAAGAAACAATCACCTTCAGATTTGTTCTCCTTTTCTTCTGGATTAAGGACTCTATCCAATAATTATTCATCAACAAATTAAAAAAAAAATTTTACAGAGAAAAACTTGGTCGAGGGAGGGTAATGAGGCCCTGGCGGTGCAACCATCAAATTTGACAAACGGTGTTGGCAGTACAGTTGTGCCACCAATTCACTCCCAACATCAGCAGCAGCAACAGCCACAGTTTCACCAGCAAACACAACAGCCACCTCAACAGCAACAACACAAACAGACAAATATGACGTCACACAGCAAACAAGTTGCTAATACGGGCAATGGTGGTGGCAGTAATCCCCAAGGTGATGGAGATTATCAACTGGTACAGCACGAGGTCCTGTACTCTATGACCAATCAGTACGAAGTCCTTGAGTTTCTTGGAAGAGGGACATTTGGACAAGTGAGTCATTGTCGAATTGTTGATTCCAGACTAGTTTTTTTTTTCATTGATCGGCGCTATTCTAGTGCTTTTGGAATATTCAATGGTTTTTTGTTGGAGATGACCTTGGACATATTTTGTATGAGCTTGGAGAATTGTTGATGAGGGTTAATCGATGAGGTTCGATCGATTCTTTCATTATGTGGTAATCAATTCAGTGGCTGAATGGTGAATGAGGTAGGTCAAGAAAAATGGAAGAGGGGAATAATTTTTCTTGACAATACATTCTTTATTGGCTGAAAAACATTGTAATTTCGTGGACTGTTTGGTAATGAGTTTAAGGAGGGCGACATTGGAATCAATTTGGGGGATAAATGGTGATTTGTATATTTTTACAGCTCGAAGACGAGAAGTTTCCAACTTACTTGAATTTTTAATAAATTGGGAATTTAAGAATATAATCTGTGGAATTTTTCTATTTTCCATGAATTTTTAAGGAATAATTTTTTTTATCGAATTGTGAATTTTCAATGACAAAATTCCTTGAAATTTCAAATTTCGCTGAAAATTTAATGGAATTTAAAATTTTTAAGTGGTAGAAAAGCGAATACTCGCAGACTTACCTGAATTTGTAATCAAAATATAATTAATATTAATAAAATCTTCAATTAATTGGAGGTTCAAGAAGATATTTCTAGGAATTTCTCCATTTTCTATCAATTTTCTTCGAAGAATTGAACTGAACTTCACAATTTCTAGTTATTTTTTAATAAAATTACGAATTATTCATAATTATCTTTCCTTAAAATTCTACTAGAACTGTCACTAAATAAGTGTTTCAATTATCAGCCAAAATTTTTTAACAATGTTTAGTAGTCCCAAAGGAGAGAATTAATTAACGACGAGAAAGTAACGTTTTCAGACAGAAAAAAATGTCGTTTCATTAAATATTCCTTATTTTGAGATGAAAATCATTCGATGAATTGATTCAGAATGATATAATTAAATTCTGTTGAGCAAGAGAAGGAAAAAAACTATATTTATCGTAATCATCAACTCAAGAAATTTCATTCTACCATTTTACCATTGAATTCCTTATTTCATTCTCGTCATAAAGGAGAAATTCAAAAAAGATTTCGTGAAATCTTCTGATAAATAACTTGAAAATTAACCGATGTGCAGTCGCTCAATCCACCTTTTGCATTCAGGTTGTCAAATGTTGGAAGAAGGGAACCAACGAAATTGTCGCCATCAAAATTCTGAAGAATCATCCTTCGTACGCGCGCCAAGGTCAAATTGAGGTAAAATCACTCATTAGAAATAATAACAATTCCGTGAAGTGTCCGACTGACTACTGGGTCAGATTAAACTGGTGATAATTTTCATTAATAGGTCTCCATCCTGTCACGACTGAGCCAGGAAAATGCGGATGAGTTCAACTTTGTGCGCGCTTACGAGTGCTTTCAGCACAAATCCCATACCTGTTTGGTCTTTGAGATGCTGGAGCAGAACCTCTATGACTTTCTTAAACAGAATAAATTTTCACCCCTGCCACTTAAGTACATTAGACCCATTCTTCAACAAGTACTTACGGCGCTTCTCAAGCTGAAGGTAGGAATTTATTATAATGAATTTTGCAACTGCGCACATTGGGGAGATAAAAATTTATAGAGAATTCTCGAGTATCATCTTGATTTTTTCCCGTACATTGAGAAAATAATTCTGCCAATCGAATTTATTCCAAAGAAACACATGCCTGTAATTTCCGCACAACATTTCACTATAACTTCTTATCTGAAATAAATTTGGTTGGCAGAATTATATTTTTCCTGAGTGTAAAATATGAAATCTTCACGGATTTTAATGACATATTTACATAGGTACATAGGTATATTCCCATAAATTTATTTCGTGAAAAAAAAGTATTTGAACATTTTTATTATTCATTTATGAACAGTCAATGTTTGAAAGATTTTCATTATTTATTTATAAAGAGTCACTTTTGGGAAGGCACTGATACTTGGGAAATTGTAATTAGAATGATGCTGATGATGCCTAAGCTTTTCCGAATTTTTTGAATGAAACTTAAGGATATCCAAAAACTTCGGCAATTTTCATTGCTGAATTTCTTTTCAATAATTGTAATTAAACAGTATAAGCTGTTGCTTAAGTCCTATTCTGAACCTTAAAGATTTTAATTTGATTCATTTTGAACCGTTGTTGTCCCTAAACTCATTCAGATGCTGCCAGCTATCACATTTCAATCATTTTGACAGTCCTAAGAATCTATTAAGACTGAAATACGATTGGAGTTATTATTTTAATTAATACGAAAAGTTATAGACAGTAATGAACAGTTGATAACAGAAAAAAATCCCGTTCACATCAACTCGTGCTACAACAGAGTGAATTCTTAAGTTGCAAGTTAAGAAACTCACAATTTTAAAATGTTGATATCTCCATTATAATAGTAAAATGGGATTAAAAATCCCTTGACTGAGTTTTCCAATAGTTTATTTAATAAAAATGCATAAATTATAGTAATATCTTGATATTTCACTGAAATAATGGCAATTAAAAGAATAATTACAATGAAAATGGCATTGGTCCTATGCTCGTTTTGCAACCAAATGTCAACTGGTAACGGACTAAACGGATGAAAAATCATTTAAAAGGTTGGACTGTCCAATGGAAATATAATTTTGTGCCTCGAGATATTTTTTAATGTTGTTTTATCACAAAATCGAATGCTCACGGTGTAATTAGTTCGGATATAACATTTTCATATCACTAAAATCACGAGACGAGGATAGGGACATGTGTCAAACGTACATGGGGACAAGTGAGCGAGCGTAGGGATATAGATTTTTTCAGATTTATGGACGATTATTTATTAAAAAATAGTAATTATCATGATTAATATAAGTAAATTCCAATTCTGAAGGTTTTACCCTCTGACATCTAATTTAAATTATCGCATTTTCACGCTCATTTCGATAGAAATATTGGACTAATGATGTGTTCATCTTATCTCCACGAGAGTAAATGAGATCATTTATCTTACAAATAAAAAAATGTTTGAATTTCAGCAACTGGGCCTGATTCACGCGGACTTAAAACCCGAGAACATAATGCTGGTGGATCCAGTGCGTCAGCCCTATCGCGTCAAAGTCATTGACTTTGGTTCTGCCTCCCACGTATCAAAAGCTGTATGCAACACTTATCTCCAGTCACGATACTATCGTGCACCGGAAATCATCCTAGGTCTGCCTTTCTGCGAAGCTATTGACATGTGGTCCCTCGGTTGCGTTGTTGCGGAATTGTTTCTCGGCTGGCCCCTCTATCCTGGCAGCTCCGAGTACGATCAGATACGCTACATAAGCCAGACACAGGGCCTACCGACTGAACACATGCTCAATAATGCCAGCAAAACGACAAAATTTTTTTATCGCGATATGGACAGCACGTATCCGTTTTGGCGATTAAAAACACCTGAGGAGCATGAGGCTGAGACTGGTATAAAGTCCAAGGAGGCTAGGAAATATATTTTCAATTGTCTGGATGACATTGGACAAGTTAATGTACCAACTGATTTGGAGGGGGGACAGCTGCTTGCTGAGAAGGCTGATAGACGGGAGTTTATTGATCTTCTCAAACGGATGCTCACGATGGACCAGGTAGTAATATCTAATTCATGATGTAGATAGATGGATTGAAGTTTTTTAATTAGTGACGTACATAAAAAATGCCCAAAGGACAAAAGTAAATGACAAAGTAAAAACATTAAAGAATATCCGTTTACAATATGAATGGTCATTTTTATACTCATTAAAATATTATTATCAAATGACCACAGTTGAGTGTAGAGTAGTTTCATTGGCAGATAATGGAAGTTTATTTTTATAATGTGTTAAAACTAGGTGAGACAATTTTTTTTCATGTGAGATTTTAATTATTTTGGAATAATTTTAAATTTAAGGAAGATAGCGATATTTTTATGAGGACCTTTGTGTGGAGTGAAGTGTAGACTGCACAGAAGTTTCGATTAATTTCACATTATTTTTATGGAAATTCACTCATTCTAAATTCAAATCTTTGAAAATCACGATTTTTTTCGTTGACACATCAACTTCAAAATGCTCCTCCAAAAATCTCCTCCATTTTTCATAATTAACTATCGGGAATTGGTAATCATATCCAAAAAACTGTTAAAAATTAATATCTTGGGTTTTTTAGTTGAATTTTCAGTTGCAAAAAAATCAAAATTTATTTTGATCTGTCACAGATAATTTTCATGCAAAAAAAAAGTATTTTTGTAACTTTCGTTTCGAAAATCTAAAAACTGTTCTTCACAGAATGAACCTCCCTCAAAAAACTCTCCCCACCCTAAAAATCATTCCCCTAATATCTGAAAAATTTCCCTCCAGGAGCGTCGTATAACCCCTGGAGAAGCCCTGAACCACGCATTTGTTACGCTGGCCCATCTCGTGGATTACGCCCACTGCAACAACGTAAAGGCATCAGTCCAGATGATGGAGGTATGCCGGCGAGCCGGTGACTTCACAGCAAGTCCAACGCACCACCAGGCGCCCCCAGCGCCCCAGCCACCGCCTCCAACCTCCCTCGTCGCTAATTTCGTTCCCACGACGAATGGCAGTGCAGTTACCCTGACATTCAACAATCAAGTCCAGAGACTAGTCAGAGAGCACAGAACAGCCCAGACTGGATACGGAGATTTGTACCAGATATACAGCAATAGTACGAGAAGGGCGACGCAGTACAGTGGCTCATCGAGTGGCTCCAATGGTGGCAGAAGTGGTGTTCACGATTTTCCCCATCAACTTGTCCCAGGAATACTCTGTCCACCACCTGGTTATCAGACTATGCCGAGCCCAGCTAAACATGTTGTTGTGGCACAACCACCGCAGGCACAGCAGGCACCACTGCAGATTCAACCGTCGATTATTTCTCAGCAGGCAGTGGCTGCAGCTGCTGCTGCTGCACAACAACAGTACGCCGCTGTGCCGGTCTCCATGGTGGAGACTGGAAGGCAAATGCTGCTCACCAATGCTGTGCAAACATCGTGGCCTGGGGGCAGTCGGCAAATGGCCGCCATCGTGCCCAGTTGGCAACAATTGCCTCCTCAACATGCTGCCATTCAACAGCCACTGCTCAGCGATGCTGGAGACTGGGGGAGACCTCTCATTGTTGATAGCTCGGCTATCATACAGGTAATGTTGAAAGGGTTGGAGTTCTTTAGGATTTTCCAGTTGAGGATTTGGGCGCTAGCAGCATGAAAATATGATTGAAGAAGTTTTTGAGTCGATCAGAAAATCATACTTTGGGGATTATCAGGTCTCAAATATTTTGTGAGGAATTTTTGGAGGTGGAAGATTCATGTTTGGAGAGTTTTTATGTTCAAATCAGGCAACTTGTCGGTTGTTGATAAGTTTTGAATTGAATTTCCGGTGTAGTTCTTGGAAATTTTTGTCAAGTGGGAGTTACACTGGAATTTTTAGACATTCTGTCACTGAAAATTGACTGTTTAATGGGGAAATCAATGGAAATGATGCATTTCAGTTCAATTACTCTGTGAAAAGACATAGCAATCGGGAACAGTAAGGTGAACTTATTTTTGAATGGTAATTGAAATTTTGATTGAAATTTTAATTGAAGTTTTGATTGAACGAGTTTTTGAGTCGATCAAAAAATCGTACTTTGGTAATTATCAAATCTCAAACATTTTGTGATGAACATTAAGAGGTAAAGAATTCATGTCTGGAAAGTTTTTATGTTCAAATCAGACAATTTCTAGGTTGTTGATAATTTTTGAATTAAAATTCTAATGTATGTAGTTCTTGGAAATTTCCGTCATTAAAAATTGACTTTTTTTTGAAGGAATCAATGGAAATGATAAATTTCAGTTCAATCATTCTATGAAAATGTAGGTAGATTTATTTTTGAATTTTAAATTAATTTGAAAATTCAGGGTAATTTGAGACTAAATATTCAAACTTTATTCAAATATTCAACTCCTCTACAGCTAACTTCGTTTTAATATAAAAATTAACGCCATTCATGTAAAATAGGCGGAAAAATTATCCTTAAAATATTTTAAATTGTATTCTTGATTCTTTCAGAAACATTTTTCGGGCTATTTTACATGAATGATGTAATTTTTCATTTAAAAAATAACGAAATTAGGTATGTAGGAGTTGAAGTTAAAAAAAAAAATTCGTAACTGTTATTGTACACATTTTTTCAACAATTTTGAAAAACAAAAACTTCTGTAGCTGAAAAATTGGAGGCCCTGGGCTATATTTAACACTTTAACCATCACTTCAGACACATTAAGTAATAAACAATTTTTTTACCCTAACTAGTCGTTTTTAGACATACGAAATCGGCCGCGCGTGCTACGCACGCGTCTCCCCATCTCGTTACGTAGTGGCGCTGCGGTTTTAGTTTTACGCTTACGCTTATTCGAGATTTTCGAAATATTTCGAGATCGATTTCCTTTCTCCTTTTTACGATAAGATATAATCCATCTTCAATGCATGAGAAATCCCACTCCAATAACCCGCGACGTTTAAAACTCATAGCAGTCTCCCCTTAATAGCCATTCAATTTTAATCGTCTCCCAAAGCCACCAAGTTCCACAAAAAAAAAAAAAAATTAACAAAATGTGTTTTGGGGAAGGATCAGCGTCCCGTGTTCCCCGTAACTGAAGTGTACAACACGAGCGCATTAGTGGAGCATCCGCCTCAGAGCTGGGGCAAACGAAGTGTCACAAAGCATCACCAGCATCACCTGACAGTGCCCCAGCAATCTCAACACCGGCATGACCACAAGAAGGAGACGCAGCAGTTGAGTCCGGTGAAGAAACGAGTGAAGGAGAGCACTCCACCGAGCAGCATGAGGCGACATTCACCATCGAATGGCCACTGGCAGCAGCAGACAGTCCAGTCGTCGCATCATCACAGTGGAAAACACGCTAGCAATCATAATGCTGAGCATCAGCAGGTGGCGGCTGTACGACAGCAGACAATCACTATTCATGACACACCTTCTCCAGCTGTATCGGTTATTACTATCAGTGATAGCGAGGATGAAACACCTGGAAAATGGTTCGTAAACTTTTCCTTTTTGTTTATTTGCTTCATACGTAACTTCTCATTATGGCAGATTGATATTTAATTTCTGTAGGGCGTTTTTATTTTGAAATTGAAACAGTACGAGTCTAATTGTGGAGATGAAGGAAGGAAAATGGGTCGTTCTTAATCGCCAAAACAACGATTTTTTTGTTATTTTGGCGATGTTTTTTCAAGCTTGAAAGTAGTTCTGATTAATTCAAATTCTATCATTCGATCAGGAGATGTTGAGAATTCAAAATGATCTACTCCATCCATACATTATCATCATCGCATATTAATTTTCAATCCTTGTAGGTCATTTTCATTTAGAAATTAGAACAGGATAAGTCTAATTGTAAAGATGAAGGGAGTAAAATGAGTCGTTCTTAATTATCAATAATTCTAGATCGACAAAGAGAAATTTAACGATTTTTTCTTTCAATTTAAAAAGGTATTTTTCAAGCTTGAGAATGAATCCTGATTAATTCAAATTCTATCATTTGATCAGGAGACATTGAGAATTCAAGATGAACCACTCCTTCCATACATTATCATTATTACATATTAATTTTTAATTTCTGTAGGTCATTTTCATTTAGAAATTAGAACAGGATAAGTCTAATTGTAAAGATGAAGGAAGTAAAATGAGTCGTTCTGAATCGTCAATAATTCTAGATGATTAATTTAAATTCTATCCTTTGATCAGAAGATATTGAGAATTCAAGACTATCCGTTCGAATGTACTTTACGTCTCAGATAAAATTTTCAATTCAATACAAATATCTCACGAAATATTGAGATATCCAATATGAAAAATGCAGAGAATTTCATAGAAAATGGAATCGTTTTCAACTCACGTTTCTACGAATTGTAATTTGCAGAGACATGAATACAAGAACGTTTTATTCCTCATAAAATCCCTCAATTTTTCACGCTAAAGTTCTCTATAACTTCTCAATGTTTATGAAGATATTTGAAGTAAAAGTAGAATGTTTCTTTGGAAAAAAAAACAGAATTTTTCGGTTTACAAAGAAAAACTTTTAATAAAAAAGAAGAAAGATTTCACGAAAATTTCCCTATTCATCTTGAATTTAGAAACGGGTTTTTTAAATTGATCCTCAAGCGAAAGTAAATTATTCTTTTTTACCCCTTTGATACAAAACTTTGTTCAAGAATATTTTCAGCAATATTTACGAATATTTAGTTGGCTTAAAAAGGAAAATTGAGAGAATTATGGGAAACGCGCTGATATCAGCCCCATTGATTCACGAAAATGTCGATTCCCAAATGTCGTGATGTCGTGTATCAGTTTAGAATCATGCATGATGTCGTTAACAGTTGCGGAGACCGTCAGTGTGGAGCTTGCCAAGGGTTAGCATGCCACCTGTCTGGCGATCGACGTCCCGTTCGCGAGGAAGTCATTCGAAGGTATTGAGTGAATACAACATGGGTTGTTATGGGCTCACATTGCTGGTGTACATTGGTTAAAGGATATACTTGGGAGCGGTTTGCAGAAGACATTCACTGGGGACTTTAGTCTAAAAAATTACGAAATTTTGCTGGAACATGAAAAAAATTAAATTTTCCGAAAATGCATAGCCATCCTTATTTACATCTAGTAGAGTTTTCGAGGAATATCTCCGAATTTAAGGAAGATACATACATTTTCGTAATAACCTGTTTAGTAGATCTGAATTCGGCCTACAAAAAAAGTTATAACAAAAATTTAGCTACCTGCCTTAGATCCCGAGATATTCATTGAAATGTGACCAATAGTCAAAATCAAGTTGAACTGTTTTACCGCTTGGCTACTGAATTTTTAGTTGGGCTTCGAAACTGCAGATAATTTTCATAATTATTATGGCGAATTCAATCTAAACAACGTAAATTTCCAACATAATTCAAGAGAAATGCGAAATTGCTTCAATTAGTCGGGAATTTCATCATGGTTCAATTATTGCAATGTGCGAAGTTGTTGAATTTTTATGGAAAAAACCGAGGGTGTCTATTTATACCCAACGTCATTAGTTTCATTCACAAAATCTTCCATTCCCCACTACGCACAAACCCCACGACCGTCCTTAAACCAAACCCCCACATCAATTTCTCGGAAAAAAATCTCATGTGAATTGAACTAGACAATCCCACAATTACAGATTGAATTATTCCGATTTCAATCCACTCACTTCATATTTATTCATGAAAAATATGAAATTTCTGCAATCATTTTTCTATTTCACCCCGAGGTAATATCACACAACCCCTGAAGTTCAAAATTCAAATATTTCGTCATTTTTAATCGAGAAAATCGCAAATTGTAATTTGCTCTCGACCACTTTTCTCCCGAAAAAACAGAGGTTTCATCAATTCTTCAAACTATTTCGAATATTTACAAAGAGGCATTTTGTTACGATATGTTCAGAAAGCATCGCATTAAGATTTAATCGTTCGCCTAATCATTCGCTTTCTTTTTCTTATTCAATAGCGAAGCGTTAAAACGGTTTAAGTCAATTTTAAATAGTTTTCAATGAATATCTCAAAATATAAGGGAGATATCAAAATTTTTCTCGAGACCTTTTTTGTAGAATCATTTGAAGGCTACAAAAAAGATTATTACCAAAATTTCATTATCTCCCTTGGATTCGGTGATATTTATTGAAAACTCAGCTAAGGGCTAAATCGACTTGAATCGTTTTACCCCTTCGCTAGTGTATTGTCATTTTTTAAACTCAATTTTATGAAAAAAATTAAAACTATCGCCATAACGGAAGTTTGGGCGGATCGTCGATTTTGTAACGTTAATATAGAAAGGATCTGTTTGTGACAGGTTGCGATTGAGGGTAATGGGGGTCTAAAAACTCTAAAAGACGTATGACGTAATATTTGAATAGTCCTTACTACTCAAAACTTCGTAAAACCGATCATTTCATTATCTCTAATTAACGGAAATCTTCAGCAATACCCATTATGCACAGCAACTCTCCCTGAAAATGTGCCCCTTCATAGAGTAAAATTGTCATGAATAACAGTAATCATAACTAATGGTAATCAGGGACGCACATATAATTCGTTCATTAATGCCAATCACACGGTATTACGGACGCTCTATTGGACCTATTGATTAATTGATTAACCCAAATGAAACATTTATCCAGCCATGCTGTGGGTGCATATTGAATACAGGGATCACAATGGAGGACTCGAATGGCGGATGTTTGCTAACATTCCACTAACATAATTTCACTCCAAATCCGTGAATTTCAATTGAAATTCGATATTTTTTCCGTTCCAGCACTCAATCGACACCTCGAATCATCCAAAATTCTCAATCAGTGCATTCGACGAGTCAGCCTCATGCTCATGGCCAGAACTCACATGGGAGCACAAGGGCGCACAGGAAAAATGTGATAAGTTGTGTAACTGTGGGTGATAGCGACGGAGAAGCTAGTCCTGGAAGGGCGCACACCCAGTTGTACCCTCCCTCGCATTTGTCGCAGAATCAACAGCATCAGCAGACTACCCAGCATATCAAGCATGAACCGCAGCCCCAGCATCACGTGAGGTATGTGGGACTATTTGTGTCTCAACTGATGATTATTTTTATTGCTTTCCAATGGATGCTTTGTAATGGTTTCAATTTTAGTTTTGAATTTGTTTTAAGGGACCCTTAATCTAACCCTCATGACCCTTATTCTGACTCTTGTCGCTGTTATTCTGACCCTCGTGACCCTTACTCTGACCCTCATGACCCTTATTCTGACCCTCACGATCCCTTAATTTTCGAGTCTTAATTTTGAGTACCAAATTTTCATCACCAGAAGTCGATTTGGATTTTAATAATCTAGAGAGATATTAACCCATTATGATCCAAAAAGTAGGAAAATAAAATTTTTAGACTCTGAAAATTCCCCAGTGCTTCAACGAACATTATTAGACAATTATCAAGGACAATTATCAACAGTTCGTTTATTTATTTTTGTGCAGTTCATCTAAACTATTGTGAATAAATTGACTTGGCTCAGGCCTAAATCACCGGTGTCATTTGTGCCATTTGTTTTGCTTCTGCATGGAAACATTGAAGCCATTCCAAAAATCCTAAAATATATCAGTAAAAGTTCTCCATCGAGTTTCAATTCAAGATGATTCGTTAAACGACAAAAAAAATTAGAACGTGGAATCAGAGTATTGAATGTTTGATAAAATGTACATTCCGTTATTAATGTATACGTTTTATATAATATTTACATTGAAATTTCTTCATGAGTAACGGAAATGTAAATTGCTTCTTTTTTTGCAGTTCTGGCTATTCGCAATCACAGAAAAAGCGGCTACTGGCTAAAGTTCAATCAGAGTGCAACATGATAAATGTAGCAACGAAACCGGAGCCAGGAGTTGAGTATCTCGCTCCACATCCGTGCCACGCGCCAGCCTGCAAGGAGCCACCGACCTATCAGGTGAAATAATAATAATTAATCTCATTTTCCATGATTATTTTTCTCAATCGGATTTCGACCAATCAGAGCGCAGTATTTGAAGCTACCCGGCAGTTTTATTTCGGATATTTCCTCCTAGCTTTTCAATATTTCGCAGTAGTTCTTCATTTTTTTACCTGAATATTTCGCAGTAGCTCTTCATTTTTTCGGCTCATTTCAGATGGAATCATATATTTGACAATCTATGGAAATCGGGTTATTCTATTAACGTAATTTGTTCAAATCTTCCCCAATTCACCTCCTGCTGTTGTCCGCTGCACTCTGCTTGGCCAAAATCCGATTGGGAAAAATAATCCGACAAATATCCCTCGAGATTCAAAATTAATCGGGTATTTCCCTCAAGCTCTCCTGCAAATAAACCATCGTGCCAAGTTTTGCAGAAAAATCCCTCGTGCAAGCGCTCGGGATTTTTTAACCTGCAAAACTTGACACACTCATTTGTTTGCAACGAAGCTATCGGGAAATACCCGATAATTTTGAAGCTCTTGGGGTATTACTAAATATTTTAATCACAGAGTGAATAGGTACCATACCCAGGGTAGTTATTGATTTTAATTCAGCAAACACTAACGGAGAGAAATGGAATCACCAATTACGCACGTTCATTATTTCAAACCGGTTATTACATTAATTATATGGAGATTCACTACGTCACGACTTTCAAGTCGATATAGAACCCCAAATGCTCTCAAATGAAGAATTATAGATGAAGGCGATGAAAGGAACTAAATTATGGATTTCATCTATTTGTGAAATAATTATTCCTTTCCATGAAGGAAAGATTTTCGTTAATAAGTGGAATTATCTACGCTTTTGTTTCTTCCCGTTTAAATAATTGAAAAATCGATTACCTCGAAATGAGGATTTCACTGAATATGAACATAACAATATGGACTCCTATAGATGTTCATAAAATCTCTAATTCACGAACTTCTTTGTTCAAAGCGAGCAACTACCGTGATTACAAGTAGATTCACTCGCTTCAACTCAATAAATTATCATTCGATTCCTCTTAAATGGAGAATTCTAAATTAAAGGCACTGAAAGCGTCCAAATCAAATGAATTTTATCAAGTAATGCAATAATTATTCCTTCCAATGAAGTTAAGATTTTAAATCAGTAGAATTTGTAGAATCAGTAGAATTTGTTCAAGTTATTGAAACATCAACCCCTCGTGAACAGAGGTAGCCATAATCATAAATTAGAATTGCCGTCAAATTTTCAACTAGTCAATTAGTTGATATTACTCTACAATTTTTCATTGTCAAATCAATCATCAATTAAATATTCAAATTCCGAAGTATTGTATCAATCAATAATTTACTTAGGAAGAATCGAAAATCCTTGTTATGAAATTTAGTATTATTTCTTCAATGGACCATAGACAGTCCCATATTATCAATTATTTTATTATATTTTTATTTGGATGATTACATGTGAACTTAATCAATGTAAGGTTCAAATTCTCTTAATATTAAGGAAGTCAGTGATTGATGGCCATCTCTGCCCCTGAAATGAAATTTTTTCATCTACATACAAGTTTCCTTGATTCATTCATTCATCCCTCCCCTCCCATTACCCACCGCATAATCTCATTCGATCGTAACCATTTCAGAAAAATCTGATGCTATCAGTGAAACAGCCATTCTCAAAAAACAATTTACCAATTTATAACAATTCCCTCGGAAATGTTTTTCTAGGCTGACGTCTATGACATGCATGACTACTTATTGCAGTATGTGACCACGAGTAGCGCGCATCCGCACCTTCAGGAGCAGCATATTGTTTACACTACTGGTGCTGAGAAGCGTGTGTCATGGCCGGCTAAACGGGCTGAGTACAAGCACGAGTACGTCCAGCCACCGGTTGCCCACTCGAGAGACCATCAGAAGTGGGCTGTCGCCAATCCAGTGCATCAGTACAGGTAGGACTTTCTTTTGAATTCATGCTACAGTGCATGTGAATCTTGCGACGAGAGTTTTGCACGTCATGAGAAATTTTACTTATTTTACTGGCAATTTATTTGCATCAGAAGAGATTTTTTCACGAGTGATTACACTGCATTATGATTTATTAATATGGTTTCTATTATTTTAATTGATTGATTGATTGATTGATTGATTAATCGATTGATAGATGGGTTGATGAGGAAGAATCCTGTCTGAAGGACATTATGGACGAATTATTTCGAAAGTAATTTCAGACATTAATTTAAGTTCTGACGTGAATTGCGGGTCAGACATAACGTTTGTCCATACGTCGATTGAGCAGCACATTTAACTTATTAAATTTAATTTGATTGTAAAAACAATTTTATATCTAGGTATAAATGGAGGTTCAGGCATAAATCGATTCCGGGCCTAAGGATCGGTCCAGGCAGGAAATTTAGGTTGAAACATCAATTTAACATCTGACATGAATTCGGGTCCAAACTTGGTTCTAGGTCCAGGCTAAAATTTATGTTCAGATATAAATATTGATCCAGAATTGAATCCTGAGTCAGAGTTAAATTCGACTGTAGAAAGAAATTTAGATCCAGGCATAAATGTAGGTTCAGGCATAAAATAAATTTCGGACCTAAGGATCGATCCAGGCACGGTTGAGACATAAATTTATGATCTGACATGCACTCAGGTTAAGGCATAACTTGAGTACTTGCATGAATTCAGGTTTAGACATAACTTGAGTACATGCATAAATTCCGGCACAAATTGGTGTACACACAGAGAATAGAGTCCAGACTTAAAATCAGGTGCAAACAAATTCAAATTGAAGAAACCAAACCATTCGTGAGCATGAATAATAAAGTTTGAGACGTTTTTTTTTTTGTAAATTGGTCTTGTAGACAAAGTCAGGCATAAATAATGATTTCGGCACAAAATCAGGTTCAGGCATGAATGCAGGGCTAGATGTAGATTCAGACAGAGTACAAGACATGTAATTCAAGTTCTAGCTTGAATTCCGGTTCAGGTAGAAATTCATGTTGCAACATGAATTTAGGATCTGACATAAATTCAGGTTCAGGCAAAACTTGAGTGCAGACATAAATTTAGGCCCAAACATAATTACACATAGAAAGTAGAGCAAAACGTAAAATCAGGGACAAACATAAATTCAGATGGAAAAAACCAAACCACTCGTGAGAATGAATAATTGCATAATAAAGTTTGAGATTTTTTTTGTAAATTGGGTTTTGTAGGCAAAGCCAGGTGGTGGCCTCAGCATCACATCCGAGTCATGGCCACAGCCACCACGGGCATCCTGTCCATCTGAGCCCCGGGGGTGGTGGTGGTGGCGCTGGTGGTGGACGGAGTCCAGCTGCTGGTCCTGTTGTAGGGGGCAGCCAACATCTTGGTCAGCCCCTTTACCAGGAGTATGCTCATGTACGCGCACGTGGACATCCTGTACCACCCCCTGTTTACGTAACTGCTGCGCCATCACAAGCTCCCACTGCGATACAGCAACAGCAAGTGCCCACCTACCAGGGATTCACACCCGGGTGGGTACCTAGACAACTAGTTGATGCATGCATGTGTGTACCAATTTATTACTACATTTATACTTAGTGCATTAGTTTATTGTAGATTATATCATTCTATTTACGTTATTTCCACTCATTGTTTTCTGAATTTATCGTTGAGAGAATTAGAAATTGATGTTGGATCGAAAACATGGAAAATGCTCGGGAATGCTGTAGAGTATTTCACCTCACGTATTCGGCATCTGGATATAGATTTATTGCCTGTGTTTTTGGAGTAGAAAGATCGAAAATTTTAATTCTATTGACGATATTCGAGGGCAATGGCGTTCTTGGGATTTTTTGAATTCAGAATTTCAGCGGAAATTGATTTTCTTTTTTATAGTGTATAAATCATTCCCATAAAATGAAATTCTCAGTAAATTCAGTCAATCGCGAAGCGGTTTGAATATTTAAAAGAGGAATCTTCTTCTTGCAAAATATAATTTGAATTACACCCATTATTCATGATTTTCTTCAAATTTTTATCACGTGACGTGTGAAAAAAATCCATAGGAGAACTTGGAGTTTTCGCTAGGAAATTTTGTTAAAATTCTATTGGATATTTTATTCTTGTTTTTTGATTATTTTTATTCAAAATTGTGCATTCACATGATGCAGACGAATATTTAATTGACAGAAGTCAATGAATTTTCTCTCTCGTGAATTATTCTCCTGAGAAATTTTGGTTGTTTCACTATATTTTTCTCTTTCTCATCACAAAATTGAAAAATTTATGCTCAAGAAATCTTGTATAAAAAATCCCAACAAAATATGTTGCAGAGAGGAATCAACATCTATTGACTTTTATGCCGTCAAATATTCTTCAAAAATCTGCATGACAAAGTTCCATACTTTTCAATACAATTTCAGTAGAATTCTAGTAGAATTTCTATAGGAAACCTATAGGAAAATAGATTTGAATATTTTCAGTTCTTGAATTTTGTAAGTAAATTGCATGAGAAATTTTTGAAAAAAATCGTACCTAATTAGTATCATTTAAATTTTAAATTCTCTTTTCATAAATAAATAATGAAAATTGCTTACAAAATGGTCAATCATTTTCTGCGAGGTGTAAGAAATTTCTCGATTCAGATTTTAATCTTTAATCGTAACGGACATGTTGATTTTCACTCAAGACACTAGCTTAAATCCTGATTTATCGACATTTTTCCGTCAAAAAACCAAACCGGCCGTTAAAATTACGATTCTGAATCTAATTAAAATTTCTGGAAATTCTGTGCAGTTTTCAATGATCTTTAAAGTTATCGTAAGGCTAAAGCTAATTTAAAGGGGTCATTCTAATATTATGTCACACGTTATCGGAACCTTTAGACCCCCCTTATGACGATATATTTTAGTTTCTTCATAAAATTGAATTTAAAAGACCTAAATAAGAAAAAGAAGGCAAATTATTGGGTTGACAGGTAAATCTTCTTGTGATGCTCTTTGAACATTTCGTAACTTATTAATTAAATTCAGTAGCGAAGCGGTAAAACGGTTTAAGTCAATTTTGACTATTAGCCAGGTTTCAATGAATACCTCGGAATCTAAAGGAGATAGCAAAATTTTCCTCAAGGCCATTTTTGTAGCCCTCAATTCGCTCTACCAAAATGGTCATTACGAAAATTTCGTTATTTCCCTTAGATTCCGAGAGATTCTTCAAAAACTCAGCTAAGGCCTAAATCAAAATTTAAAATTGATTTTGGATTTACGATTTCCTCGATTAAAACTTGATAAATAATGTGGTGTGGCGTCACAACCTGAGCAACCTCCACCCCCTTTCGTCATAAAGCCTCACAAAGTACAGACCCCCCCTCCTTATCATGTCACATAATATTCGAATGGCCCTTTAGGGGGAGACTACTGAGTTTTAAAGGCTGCGGGCTATTGCAGTGAGATTTTTCATGCATCGAAGTCCAGAGGAAGGCCCAGGGGGGAGACCCAGATTGGGAAAAAGGAAAAAGTGATACTGAATTTCAATCAAATGAAAAAAAAAAGTGTAATTTGTCTAATCTAATCAATTGAATTGTAATCAACTGAATTATAAGGCGAATAAAACATTATTATTCTCATCAGTACTCCCCATAATAAAACAAGCAGGGGACAGCGAACCATGACAGCGCGCCATGTGACAGTAAGCATGTCACTGAGTGATGTCTTATTTTTTTTTCGCCATTAATAGATTGATGGTGGGCTTCCGAATGGTCTGAAATATTACAAAAGTTTATAGCTATACAACACTAACTAGCAGCAAACATTTCAAATGGCTATTACCACTTTCATGGGTGCTATCAAAATTCCAATGTTTCGATTACTTCGCATGAGCGCGTATACATATTTTCTGTTCAAATTTCAAGTTGATATCTCGATTTCTGCACAAGCTAGAGGGTTTACAAAGTTGTTCTATGGAAAAACGGAAAAACGAGAATATCTCGAAAACTTTATATGAACTGGTGTATATGTTTTGATTGATCTAGACAGAAGGCATCGAAACGAATGTTTTGAAAAAAGAAAAAGTGAAATCAGTTGCGTAGTTTTGAAGATATTTCATGTAAAAGATTTTCAGAAAAAGTCGAATATCTCCGCAACTACTGATGCGATTGAACCCATTTCCAAAATGAAACATTTCTATCACAAGACGAAGATTCTGTCCAAATTTCAAGTCGATATCTCGATTTTTGCACAAGTTAGAGGGTTTAAACGTTTTTTATGAAAAAAACGGAAATACGCGGATATCTCCAAAACTTTGTGTGAACCGGTATATATGCTTTGACTAATTTAGATAGAAGGCATCGAAACGAATATTTTGAAAACAAAAAAATCGAAATCGGTCCACTAGTTTTGAAGATATTTCCGAAAAATGATTTAAAAACGAATGGCTTTTTCTTTGAAACTATTAGATCGATCGGGCTAAAATTTTGCACAGAATTAGTTCTCATTAGGGCCTATAATGTGATTAAATTTCAGATTTTTTGGAATTACTTTAGCCACTTAATTACTCAATATTCTAAAAATTGACCACCGGGAAGGGGGCGGTGGACATGGTCACATACAGACATGGTCGCCAAACTTCGTATTTTTACGTTTCAGACTATTCTACGTCATTACCAATCAAAATTAGAGAATGTGAAAATCGGAGGATTGCAATGCTTCCGTTCAGAACCACAAAGTTGATAAAAAAATTTTTGTTTTTCGCTTGAATTGAGTGAAATAGTCGTTTTACGGTTGTTTCATTTTGCCCCACCCTCCCCTATTAGATTGGAAATTCAAATAAATTAAGGAATTCTCGTCTTTATGCTGCTTAAAATTCTGGAATTTTACTGAATTTTCCCTGAAACCTGAAATTTCATGATTTTTTCCCTCCTGAATTGCATTCAGTGTCACTGTCCTGAAAATTAGTAACTCTCCATGAAATTTCATTTTTTTTCCAACAGTGTATGACTAATCTCATTCCAATAGCCCGCGACTTTTAAAACTCACGGTATTCTCCCCTTAAACAACCAAAATAGTCAATCTACAACCAGCAAAAATTAACAAAATCTCTTTCATTTTTTCCAGCTCGTCACCACTAACGTTGTATGATTCTAGTCGTGCACTTCCACCACCAGCGCATCATAGCTCGGCAAGACCACTGCTGGCAAGTCATGCGGCGCATCCCCTGCCCGCACACATGCAGCCCACAGCTGTTTACGGTTTGGCACCCCTATCGCCAGCTAAACATCAATATCAACCGTCCGGCTTGTGGTTCACCGAGTAATTCGGCTAAACCGATTCCGACGAATATCCCCCCACCCCTCCCCCATGCGAATCTCGATGATACCAGAATAACGAAGAGATTCGTCAATCGACAAGCATCAAACCACCACGTGATGCAGCAAACAATGAATTATTTGTTAATCTCTTAACGCAAATGCATATGTTAATGCACGAGGATCAGTGTTAATTATATTTCAATCTATAAATGAAATTTTGTGTTTTGTGGGGCTGTTTTAGGTCGTAATCACAGTCAGATTATTTTAATTCGTTCAATGCATCACATTTCTATTCGTAATCCGTCCGATAATGATGAATTCACTTTCAATGAACCATATTCGATGGTTTTACGTGCATAAAAAACGGACTGGTAGGATTTACTTGAATATGGAGGTGAATTATCCAGCGTTCGAACGAACGCAAAATCACATTTGCAGTTAAATATCGAGAGAATTCATGAGAGAGAAACCTACAGTTCACCAAATCAATGATTTCTCTCGGAATAAACGAGCCGAGATTTAATTACTGATGATTTCGAACTCTGGAAAATTCCCAATTACACGAAAGCATTAAAAAACGAGCATTTCAATGCCTCCAATCAAATTTTGCATTTGCAAAAGAAAAAATGCACTGCAAATTAATCGAAATGACAAACTCTGTCGAGTAACTAGATATTCAATCGGATTGGACGTATTTTTTAATGTTCTCTGGCCACTAGTGAGGCCTCAATATTTTAATCAAAATGTCAACGAATTAAAAAGTGTTTGAAGAAATGACCAGGTGAAGGGATTACGTGAGATGAATCAATTGCTCGTCGCATTTTTTTTATGAAGGCATTATTAAGGGTATGTAATAGGTATCGGGCCAGATGTTGACGATTTAATTTAGCGAATCCTGTGGAGTAGTGGGAGTATTTCAACTACGAATGAGTTAACCTTGGTGGAAGCATGATAAGTTGCAAGCTCCTCATTGGCGAGCAATACGAATGAAAGAGTCAATTGTAATTAACGAAACAGCAACTAGAGGGGAAATTTTTTCGTAAGGCCATTGTGATTTTAATGCAAATTTTGGGCCAAGTCAACAGGACGACTGTGTTGTACACTAATATTCATTGGGATACTTGTGTTTAAATATTTTGAGGGAATATCAATAGTCTAGTGCTTGATAATAATTTTTTTTCGCCAAAAAATTGATAATGAAAACGAAAAAAATTGTGCTTGGGGTAGTGTTTATTGGTAATTTTTATATTTTGTTTCTTCGACGTATGGTTGAACGCATATACGTGTATAAAATAGATTATTTTACTTATTATTTTGTAATTGTATATAACTGGCTAGGCTTTAGGGGTGAATTACGTGTTTAAAGATGTATTGTGCGCTTAACCAGAATGTTTTTGGGGAATTAATTGATTTGGAAATTATGAAAGTCGTGGGAAATTATCGATTTTCGTAGGAAATAAGTTCAATGATTGATTTGTTCACTACACTGAATTATTAATTGAGTTATTTGTCGATTTAAGTGGGGGAAGTTTGGATGATTTTTATTTTAATGTACGTATCACTGTACATTGCGATAGTAATGTTAACAATCGAACGAGTGAGGTTTATTCTAACAGCCCAATGAACTTTTGGGAAGAATTGTCGCGCAGTCAATTCTGCTCGGTTTCAATGTGTAAATAATAATTGTGAAATATCCAAATATGTACATAGAGGAATGCCTTTTGAAAATTAGTTTTTAATTGTTTAATATTATTTTTACGATTGAATAGTAGTCACATTCAATTTTTCGTTCTTCACGTAGGGAATATATTTATGGAATATTCAGTTTCGTAAGTGATTATTCGTCGACGAAAATGTGGACTTATGAGGGATAGGGGTGTAGGTTTACATTTTTTGGACGATTTCGTCTTGTGTTTGAGAGACAGTTTTTTTGTTCACCGCCAAATCATGTTCTTCCTGTACTGTACATTATTTCGAGTACCTCATTTGAAACTGAGGGTTTATTAGAGTTTAGATATATTTTTTAGTTTGGGTGAGGGGTAGAGAAGGAGTCGATTTAAATTACGAAGAGATTAGGTTTTAGGGAATGTCTGAGGCAGATGAAGAAGAAGGGTTCTGAAAAAAGATTTTTACGAAAATTTCGTTTTCTCGTTGGGGTTTAAAGATGTTTAACAAAAATTTCATCAATTTCACTTGATTAGTCTTCGGAAAGTCAGGAAGATAACGACCTTTTTTGAAAATAATGAAATGCGTAAGGAAAAGTTCTTAGAAAAATTTTCTATTTCTCGTCAACTCAGACATATTCAATCAAAACTGGATGTCTAATCAGTTGAGTTATTTTGAAATAATTTACTTTCATGACTAGTTTTTGTCAAATATCTGGAAACCGTGGAGAGATAGGAAAATGTTTGTGAAATTGTAGTATAATTTTTGTAAAAAAAAAAACAGTTCATGATAATTTTGCAGAACATGGATATTATTCAGAGATTCAACAGAAACTATTTTTTGTGGTGAATTGGTAAACTAGCAAAATCGATTGTTTTTCGAAAATGTTTCTTTTTGTTAAATCGCTTCTCATCAATGTGTGGAAGTCATTTAGCCAAAAAAATCTAAAAAAATCACTTATCCCAATTTATCAATTCACAGCAGATTTAATAAGTTTACTCATTTGTAAATAATTCCACTTGTCGCCTAGTTTTCATAGAATATATGTAAACTTCAAAAAATTACAAAAATTGTATGAAATTATAGTCTTCACAGATGTTTAATAACTGAATTTCTAATGTGATAACTTATTATTAAATAATTCCCTGTCACAACCAGTTCTTAAATAACTACAGAATTTAAAAAAAATAGCGAAATTTTCGTGGAATTATGGTATCATATCTATAAAAAAAAATCAGTTCATGCCAATTTTACAGAATCTTCTTTACATTCAGACATTCAAAAAGACCAAAATCTCAAGCCAAATTGACACCCCACTTCTACCACTTCACCCCTAATAGAATTCCGTCATAATCCCTGATAATCATCTTCCTCATCATAATTAATTTCACCTGGAGCTTGTAAAATCCCAGTCCCCTAATTTCTCACAAACTGGGAGAGCTTCGCTTGCCAATAATTTACATTTTAGACAACAAAAAAATAATACTTTATGTTTTACTCGAAAGACGCTTGATTATATCTGCTGGATTAATTGGGGTTCGATGTACATAAATAATCTCTAATTTTAAACAAAAATCGCAATCATGGTGAAAAAAATTTATATCTGTATTACAGAGGATAGAGTTGGTGTAAAAATTTTGTAAGTGTTTTTAATTGGCTTTTACCTGTCGAATCGAGAAATGAAATTAAACATGTGTTGCAGTGTTGAATGAGCCAAACGTTTGACCAATTCAGTGTAGAGAGCTGACTGTTATAAATGAATCATTCAATTACTGAACCACTAAACATCACCTGTACTTGTTCTTTTTATTATCAAAACCCATTCTGTTCTCACAATTTATAAATTCACGTTTCACGATTGATTGAGTGTCACAAGCTCTCTTCCAAAGACGTAATAACAACGTTAATATCATTGTTTCGGTCTGTTCACAACAAAGCATCCCCATCAACAAAATTCAATTGATAATACTGAAGGGAGGTATACGTTATTAGCGTATTAAATGAAAATACTAGATTATTATATGACTAAAATCATATTTAACCAAGTTGATGTGCCTGTTTAACGACTTAGCGTATCAAGTACGAATATGCCCAAATTAAAGAATATATTATATGATCAACTCATTGGATATAAGTGGGAAGAATATTAAACAAATGTTTATCATAATATTTGGATCTAAATATCGTAAAGTAACTTTACATGTTTAATATTTAATTGTATATCATAATTCATTACTGCATTACTTCCACGTCTCAATTGTATTACAAGATTTAGTCATCTCTGTTTTTAGTTTAATTATTCAGTCAATTTAACGTTTACTTTTTATCGATTAACTTGCATTATCAAAACGAATTCAGTACTCAAGTGATAAAACGTGACAAGTCCATTGAACTATTTTATTAATTGCTTGTTATCTCGTTAACGAGTGGGTTTGCGAGAAAAAGTTATAAGCTCTTTTTTTTAGACGAATAAATTTCCCATAAAAAATGGCATATCACAATTTTTCGTTACTCTACGCATTACCGAGATATTTTCACTTTTAATAGTGAGTGTAATAAGCGACTTTTTAATTATTATTATGCAATTAGATGGCTTGTTGCTGTATCAAAAGATCATTATTATTAATTACTGAATTACTTCCACATTTCAATTCTATTGCAGTCTTTAGTCATTTCAATTTCGCCTATTTTACTGTCATATTAATGAATGAAGCTTCATTATCAAAACTAATTCAGTTCTAAAATGATATAACGTTAGAAGTCTAATTAAACAATTTCTTTAATTGTTTTTTATCTCGTAGACAAGTGGTTTTACGATAAAAAATGTCATAAAACCTTTTTTATAGGGAAAAAATTTTCAAACGAAAAATGTTCTGCAAGTTTTTCTCGTGATTGCACTCATAACTGAGATATTTTCATTTTTATTAATGCATACTTTTTAATGATTCAATTGAATTAGTTTTTCCATATCAAGAGATCATTATCATTAATTATTTCATTACAGACTTTAGTCATTTCGATTTTTCAACAAATGAAGCTTCATGATCAAAACCAATTCAATTCTAAAATGATACAACGTAACAAGTCGAATAGACCATTTAATTATTTGTCTTTTATCTCATAAGCGAGTGGTTTTACGAGAAAAAGTCATAAGATCTTTTTTTAGAGGAATAAATTTCCCACAAAAAATGTCGTATCGCATTTCCTCATAACTCAACTCATTGCCGAGATATTTCCACTTCAAATAATGAATGTTAAGTCAACTCTTCACGTTTTTATAATTATTCACATTTTTCACTTCTCTTCGACTTTTATACTCGATGAAATACATAATAAAACCCTCCCACATTGCATAGTCACTCATAAAGTCATGCAAGCGACTAGTGCGCGAACCACTTTACCATAATTTCCATTGAACACGACATAATGAATGGGCACCTAATTATGTTGTAAGCGTGTAGATCAAGATAAAAATTATTGAATGCAACAGCTAAACTCGATGAATAACGATGATAATAAAATATAGTAAAACAATTATGATAATATAAATGAGGGGAGAAATACTGTAACTGTATATCGATGGTTCTAGTTGTGATATTTTAGTAATTTAACAATTTTTACTATTTGAAACAAGAAAAAAAAAGAATTATTATATATTTGGTAGTCCTAGCTGTAGTGCCTAAAGTTTCGATCAGAGGGAATTATCTGGAAAATTGTAAATGGAAAAAAAAATCATTGCTGATCATAATGAGTCGTGACGAGGAAATTTAGACAAAGTATTTATATCAATGGTGACTGGGATGCATTACGTTATTTATGATAGAGTAATTATTCTAATAATCCTCATGTTTATGGTTTATAGTGATTAGGAGAATTACTACTTACTGGAACAAACGAAGAATTATGGGGAGAGAGTTTGAGGATAGTTGTAAGTTGATATGGGAAATGAAATATTTTTGAAATTAGGGAGAGGAGTATGTGTAGTTATTGTAGGTCTTCTTTTTGTGGTGTTTCGAGGTAATACAGAGTAGCATTGTAGCTTCTATTATTGGGTAGGGTAACGACTGCAGGTGGGGAGATTTGGAGGGGAATATTGTATTTGAGGAGTATTGAGATCTATCGCCTATATTTCGCATGGGGAAAGTATCTTTTGGGGGGAGGAAGGTCAGTGGAGAAGGGGTTAAATGGGTTTGAGAGGCAAGATTTTGTAAGGAAATGTGGCGAGGATGACACTTATAATGAAAAATATTTCATGACGTGTAAACGTTTTGATTTGGAAGCAAACAGTTTTGGGAGAAATGGTAAAAGAATTTTTTTTGCAAATAATGCAATTTCTAATGAAGAATGTGTCGTTACATTTTCTTTTTTTTATTTACAGGATTTGAACTTATTGGTTTATTTCGTTATTTACAAAAAATAATACATATACAGTTGTACATTTTCCTCTAAAACTATTTATTGTCAGGATGATAATATCAAAATCCAGCAAAATTTGAGGGACTGAAATCGTAAGATGTGAAATTATAAATTTTTGACATTTTTAATTTTTCTTAAAAACAACTCGTTTTAAGAGAAAATTGCAGAAGATCTTTTTCATACAGGAGGAAATTTCCAACGTAAAATGATTTATTTTATCATTTTTAATATCCGTTAGACTCTCTAAAATGGAACTACAGATTTTTCGTTACACTGAGTCGACTCGATGTGAGTTCCAATGAGAAAATTCATCTTTTTAAATTTTTCGTGGGCGGAAATTTTTATTTTTCAATAAATTTGATAGTCTTTCCTCCTTTCCGCTCGATTCGTGCTTTCCTCCGTATGATTTAAGGGGAGACCACATTGCAATTCGGAAATCGTCGGGCGTTGTAGGGATAGTTATTGTAGTCTATAACATAGACTACAACAATGAAGTGAGTGAAAAAAAAGTATGAAAAGACCAAAATCCGTAATTTTTTGAAGCTTGCAAAGGGTCAAAATCGGTCGAAATGCTTCAACGTCTACAAAAACGTCCAAATGCCTTAATTTTTAACCCATTGAGTTGCACATCGCTAAAACGTGGACAAAAAAAACAAAAATCGATTTCCAAAAATATTAATTTTTCCTGTATGAATAAAACTAAAGACAGATTTTCAGAAATTTTGAAGTTTCAGTGTAAAGTTGTGGAAGAATCTGAAAAAAAATTTACTTCATTGAAATAGTATATACCGTAATGTTGTCCATATATCATAAAATTAGGCCATACTACTGAGGAAATCAAGAATATAAATGCACACAAAAGTAATTCTGACACAAAAAATTAAAAAATTTCCATTTTACGAATACAATACTTAAACTCAAAGGCAAAAAAACTTCTTTACAACATTTCTCCCTACAACTGCTCATCTTGAATCTCCTTAAACCCACAAAAAACTTGAGGAGTTACCTGTCTTGCCCCTTCACCATTTGAACAGTTCTAAACCAATTAATGAAAAACGTCACTGAAATCCGAATTTCTCCAATGGTTGCCACCATTATATCTAAATCAAACGCACTAGCTTACAGACGTAAGATATAAAAACTCGAGTAAATGACATGATAATCAAAAAACCTTCGACAATGGGTTCCAAGCTCAATCTCAAACAACAAATGAAAACTAACATTTCGTGCCGTTTCTATCGACAAGATGACTCCAATGTATTCAACCGTCCACATGTGACTGTAAATAATCTTTAAATTTACCATTTTCACTTGCGAGATGCGGCGATAGAAATTTTCCATTATGTTGCCTGGAATATTCCACACAATACTATAGACTGTGGTCTACTTCGAGAACAATTAGACTATTATAATAAATTATCAACTCATTGTTCTTTCAATGTTACATTAAATTAGATGTTTACTATCGTGCAGTAGGCGAGAATAACAGAAAGATTTTTTAAAGTTGAGAAAAAAAAATTTCTATGCAAAATTAATCCATAATTGAATCAATGAATGACTAATTATTAATTAATTAATTAATTAATTAATAGGGAATTATCGAGGGAATGAAAGGCAACACGTATTCAACTCAGTAAATCAACAATTGATGACTTGAAGCTGCATAATATGAAGAGTTAACGATCTAACTAAAAAATATTCAACTGCTACTTTGTAAATTACATGACTAGAGAACCTCCAAAAATTTTGTATTTCATTTCTAGTGTTTTTATCCACCATCACAATAATCAAATATCATTAATCCAAGGACTTGGGAATTTTAATAGATCCGTAAACTGAGAAACGCGCTGAGAAAAGAATTACCAATAGCTGTAAATCTAGAAACTATTGAATTAATATTGTTAATAATCAATGATGATAATACGTAATCTTCCCATAATAGTGTTTTATATGGCTGTAGGTTTACGAATAAACTCGTCATATATTGACACTTGATAAAGAGTAAATAGAAGTTTTATTTTTTCGTTTGAATCTTGAAATTGAGGTAAACGTAAATTTCAGTTTTCACATTTCACTGAATGTGAAATTATCCCCTAACGACTGGTAGTAGAGGAAAATGTCAGGAGACATTTTTTGAAGAGAATTTTCTCAGCTACAAAAAGTGTCTTCTGATATTTTTCCCTACAACCACTCGTTACCGAGATAATTCGATATTTAACGAAAGTAATTTTGAACTCAATGTTAAATTTCACCTAAAATTATTCAAAAAATTATCAACGATAGTTAATAATCATTGTTTGTAATTATTCAATCACCAGTTGACCTAGTAGGCTCAACCCCCCGTGATCCCATTGAAATTAAAAAAATGGCCTTGTTCAATAATTTTTATATCGCCTTCTTTAATACAAATCTTCATTACTTTAACGAAGTTTAATTGTACTTCACCATCAACTATTTGTACGTAAAATCGATATAATAATGATGCTTAAGGTGTAATAGAATTAATTGACGTGCTGGATAATCAGTGCCACTGTTACGAAAATTGTGCTGTATAAATTCAGTAGCGAAGTGGTAAAACTCTTCAAGTTGACTTAGCTCTCATCTGAGTTTTGAGCAATATATCTCCGAATCTAAGGGAGTTAACGCAATGTTCGTAATGACCTTTTCCATAGCGCTTAACTCGTTCTACAAAAAAGGCCATGGCAAAAATTGCACCATCTCCCTTAGATTCCGAGATATTCTTTGAAAACTGGCGAGTAGTCAAAATCGACTTGACTGTTTCATCCCTTCGATACTGAAATAATGTAACTGTCTGCCAAGATATTCCACTCTCAATCTCTCTTTTTTTCGAAAGCAAGACCTCACACAACAGAAACATATTTTTTTTTAGAGGAACAAAGTAAAATAAAACCGAGAAACGAGAAGTGGAAAACGAAAAAAAATGTGAATTCGAATTTTATAATTAACTTCACTTAAAAAGTATAATAAAACAGATTTTAATAAATGGAAAATTTTTTCAATAAACTACTCACATTTATAAATAATAACTGAATGCATTACTGATGGTGAATAATTAATAAAAATTGTCTGATTGAACTGACTGTCTCAGTTCGTGAAAAGTAAACTGTAGTGCATCGAAATTACTTCATTATTTGATCGAAGTACAAAGTATTAGATTTAGTTTGAGGATGGAACTAATTTTAATGCACACGAATGAACAAAAACGAGGCAGTCGAGACGTCTAAATTCTCGACGAATTCATTTCCCAAGAATTTTCCCGAATTCTCAGATATAAAGACAAAAAAAATTAATGAGTTGGAATAATTGAAGGCAAAATAGTGGCGATAGTTTGGCGATTAATCATTGAAAATAAATGGTGACAAATTTTACTTAAAAAAAAAGTTGTTTCCACCACTCACTCACAATAATGGGACATAAGGAGAACCTGTAATGTATTGAATACATAAGATATTTATATTTATATTTGTATGGGCTGATTATAATAATTGTACTGTATGATATAATCAATAATTCGTTAGTGGTTGTCGGCTGTTGTTATTTCTCGAGGCACATGGACAAATTGATGTTGTCAGGCATAATGTCATTGTATAATTGTTATGGCCTTTAAATGTTATAATTAGCGAGAAACAATGACACCGGACCAAATTAAATCCGCTGTATATTAAATAGTATAATCAAATACTAAAGACTAATGCTTAAGGTGATCGATTAAGCTTCAGTATACGTGATATTTTCGAAGCCGCAAAAATATATATTTGAAAAAAAAATGAATAATAATTATTTAAGGAATGGTACACAATTAATATGATAAGATGATAAATACTATAGACGAAAGATTATGCACTTTGGTATGAGATGATATATTGGAAATAGAGGCTGATGGAAAATACTGGACTTTGTTTTTCGTTCGCCCTGTTTATGATATATTGTGGTGTATGATTAATGATTATTGGAAATAACGTTATTTTGGGCAAACAATAAATTTTTGGGAGAGCGTTGTTTCAATTGATGACGACTCGACTATTCAAAGGCATTGAATTTATGGTTTTGTCTTTTTTATCCTTTATTTCAGCTGTTTTGGTCATTAATACGTACGAGATCATTTTGAAGAAGTACCTGGGATATTCGATAGGCAGTTCTATTGAGTTTTTATTGAATAATTCTGCAGTTTCGCCGTGCATTTTTTTCAATAGAAATGTTTAATAGAAAATCTTTTATAGAATTAATACAGAATTTGATTTTTTACGCAATTTATTTGATTGAAATGTTTTCTGCAGAAATTTCTCGAGATAATTTTTACAAAGTTTTTTTGTTAGATTTTTTTAATGAGAAGAGAACAAAAATGGACTGAAAAAACTGGTGAATTTATGGTGAGGAATTTCTGTAGAAAATAAAATTCTGTTGAATTTTTCTAAAAAAAGAAAAAACGCGTCGGAAAAATGCAGATATTCAATAGAAGTTTAATAGAATTTCTATTGAAAGATTTCGCAGTTTCTCTGCATTTGTTATTCAACAGAAATGTTTAATGAAAAATATTTTATTTCAAAAATCAATAGAATTTGACCTATTGATTCTATAGAAATTCTTCGACATAAATTTTCCAAAAATTTTTGTCAGATTTTTTTAGAAAGGACAAGACTGGAGTAGAAAAACAGAAAATTTAGGCCGAGGAATTTGTACAAAAAAATTCTAAATAAATTCTATGGAAAAATCAAAACCTGTTCATTTTTCCCTTAGAAAAATGCATGGGAAAATTGCAATTTTTTAAAATCGACGTTCAATACAATTCTCTAACAAATTCGTCAGGTTTCTTCACGAAATTTTTTCGTACGTGAAATTCCCGAGGAATATCTTATTCGTTCGTTAATTAGTTATTTAATCAATCGAATCGACATTAAAAATTTTGAAACTTTCAGAATATTTTGATAGAAATCGAATAACATTAGTTGCTTTATATGCTACTGAATATTAATGACTGTTCTGATGAAATAGATAGGTATATATCTATTTGCACTTGCATAGAACCTCTCATATGAGCTCCAGGTATACCGCGCATGCCTTTTTTACCTCGACAAAAAAGTAAAATTTTTGTGACACCTGCCCGAAAAGCGCACTTTTTGTCACTCAGTACGTGGAGCCTTATTTCACGCACGCTGTGCGTGCTAAAAGGCCAATCACGAACGTCGTAAGAAAAAATATGCTTCGTCACTGTGTCGAAGAATACTATTTCATCACGCTGTGACGAAAAGTGAACTTTTCGGCACGCTCCGCGTGCCTAAAAGTCCAATTTCCGCCACATTGTGATGAAAAATATTGTTCGTAACTCGTGAAAAAATGTTTTTTAGCTCGTGGGATTATATCACTCGCCTTCGGCTCGTGCAAAAAACCACTTTTTTGCACTCGTTACGAAATATACTATTTCGAAACGGTTTAGTGTGTGTAAAACGGTTGTTTTCCGTACGGCGTGCGTAAAGTGAATCCTCGTGCATAAAGTTTCGCACTCGTGCATGAAAATAATCACTTTTTCGTTACTAGGCCCGATAAACCGCGATTTTCGGGCCTAATGACAAAAAATATTATTCGACACGGCCGTGGGAACTTTTCAACCTCATATTCGTCAGAAAAGTTCCTCACGGCCCAGTGTCGAAATATACTATACCCGCACTACCGTTCCGAACAGTGAACTCGGCAGGTATCACAAAAAATAGGATGTGTTACGCGTGCGTGCGAAAAAGTAGATCTTTACGCATTAGTAACACAATATACTATGTTCGTCACTCGGCCGAAAACAACTTTACTGACTTGTGTGATTGCCTTCCTCGGCTTCGCCTCGTTCTGCAACCCTCACACTTATACGAAAAGTATTTTTTCGGCCTTGTGACGAAAATAGCTATTTGATTCCTTTCTCATGGTATGATATCTCATTATTTAACTTTGAATCACACCTTGTTCGATATAAATAGGAAATAGTACGAAAGGCCGGCAGTTTTTAACGAGACCATGAATTGTAGAAGTTGTAGTTGGAAATAATTCGAGAATGTTATGTGAATACATATCGCATATTTTATTCGACTAAGAATAGAGGTATTGAAACTTACGAGTGGAGTACTGGTGAAATAAGATAAGTCAATGTGTCGAAGTGAGACAGAAAAATTGTCGTGGGGGCGTTTTTACGGTGCGAAAGACGAGAGCTATAAAATAGTGTGTTGTGTTACTCGTGCGTAAAGTTCCACTTTGTCACACGCACGTGTAACAATCCAATTTTTTGTGGCACCTGCCGAGGTCACTGTTCAGAACGGTGGTGGAGATAATGTGGTTGTTTCCATGCGCGATTGGGTAATAGTATATTTCAGGACGAGTGCCATGGGGTTTTTCCGTAGTGATTTTCACTTTTATGAGTTCGGGGAAGGGCTGATACCAATCCCCGAATGAGAAAAAGTGAACAGCAGTACGGAAATAGTATTTTTCCGGCCTATTGCGATGGGGTTTTTTACTCGTGTGGCGTTGGCCTCCTAGCCGTAGGCGAGGACTGGCCAACCACACGAATAAAAAAACCCCATCGCAACAGCCCAGGAACAATAGTTTTCTGTAGTGATTTTCAAGGTTTCGAGTTTGGGAAGTATGTAATACCAATTCCCAGACGAGAAATCGTGAGAAGCAGTACAGAAATAGTATATTTCAGCACGTGTGGGGCAATTTCGTCTTTAACGTGTGTGGGGTTTACATCACTCGTCTTCGGCTCATGCTGTAAACACGTTAAGGACGAAATTTCCCAACAAGTACTGAACAAAATTTTATGTCACGAAGCCTGAAACCGGCTGAATTAGACACGAGGCGCGAAGCGTCGAGTGTGTAATCCAGCCGGTTTCAGGCATGAGTGGCATAAAAGTAAATTTCGAGCTTCGGTTTACGCACGAGAATTCACTTTACGCACGACGTGCGCAAAACCACCGCTTTACGCACACTAAACCGTTTCGAAAAATGCACGTTTGAGGGACATTTTTATTGAATTTCTATTAAAAATTATATTAATTTTTTGTCAATTCTATTGAAGAATTCCGCAGCTTTCTGTAACTTTTTTTTCAATAATGATTAATAGAAAATCCATACAAAGAGAATTAGATTTCAATATGTTTAAACAACTCATTCTTTTGCGATTTTTTCTGAATTCTCGGCCTTTAGAAATATACAGAATTTATAAATTCTCCAATTTTTTTATTTTCATTTATTTTTATGCGAAAAGGAACAAGGCAATGAAAAATCTTGAGAAATTTATGCCGAGGAATTTTTTAGTGAATAAATCTCAACAGAATCAGTTGTATTGAAAGATCGAAATCTATTGAAAAAATACACTAATAAGCTCCGGAATTTTTCAATAGAATCAGTGAAAAAATTGTGGAATTTTCTAGCGAATGCGCTAGTCTTTTATGTGGAATTCCATCGTGGGTGAACATATGTCGAGGGTTTGTTGAGGCCCAGTCGAAAAGATTTCATGGCTGTCATTATAAAATTACAGAATTTTTTCATTTCAGTCGTGTCTCCCCTCGAATTTAGTTATCTCCTTTCACCAGTGAAGATGAGAAACACTTTTTTATTTTCATGAATAACCAATTATCGTCACTATGGCATAATAATGCATCTGGCAACTCCTTTTATTTCCAATTATTCTTCAAAATAAATAGAATTAATTCAATTTTCATGTTTCATCATTTCAGTGAGCGAATAAATTTCATGCAACAACGCAATAGAAATTAAAATTTCTCAAAACTCAGAATTGCAATGAAAAATAATTTGCAATACAATAAAATATCCGTAGTAGGATAACTATCAAAAATAGATTAGAGTTTAGATGGAGAGACTCAAAACTATAGCTTTATAAGAAAACAAATTAAACGAGATTTAGAAGAAAATGATGAATGAAAATTATAACTTTCAGATATCAATGTTTTTTCGTGTCCACGCACAGGAAAAATCAGTAGCGAAGCGGTGGAACGGTTTAAGTAGATTTAGGTTATTGCTCAGTTTTCAATGAATATTTAGCGATCTAAGGCAGATAGCAAAATTTTTGTTACAACTTTTTTCATAGAGCGAATTGAGCACCACGAAAAAGGTAATTTCGCTATTTTCCTTAGATTCGGAGATATTCCTCAAAAACTCAGCTAAGAGCTAAGTCGACTTGAAGATATTCTAGTACTTTAAAATGAGATTTTCGAAAGTTTAAACAATTTCAGTCATTTATTTACAAAGAACGAATGTTTAAAAAAATTACAATTCTGTGCAAAATATTTTTAAACATTTTTTTTCACACAATTTAATTGACAAATTTGATGATTGAAAATGGCTGAGTTTATAGTGTGGTCTGTACGATACTATAAAAGATACTTGTATATCCTTAAACCGTTTTACCGCTTGGCTACTGATATCTATCTATCACCACCGTGTGGTATCAGTGGTAACTCTAGATTCTAGAATTTAGAGCCTATACTAAACGATCCGGACAAGGCATTAATTTCTCAATCTACTCGCATAATTGAGACCTAATAAAACTGATGAAAACCGATGATTAAACAAAATATGACTGAATAAAAAATATAAAACTCATTATCTCTCCTAATTAACAATTTCAAGTCTCGAACAATTAAATAACAATTGATAAGAACCAGGGTGAACCTAAAATTTGTAAGATGAACATTAGTGTAAATATGAATAACCAATAATAGAATTTCATGAGATAAATTATATTGGGTACCTGTATCGGTCAGATTTGCAGGAGACAATTGCATCTCTGTAAATATAACAATTATCAGAAATTAATTAGGTATACCTAATTAGTATGCCTATTAATCAGTCTTGTGTACTGAGAGAAAAACGACAGAGTTCTCAAATAAGTTTTACTTGTGCCAAAAAAAATATTTTTTTCAAAACTATCAGGAAAGTTTTTTTTGTATCCCCGTTGTAACGTGGATGTAGCGGAGATGTTGGGTCAAACATGTAAAGAGTGCGTCGAAGTAGAAAAATTTTGACGCAAAAGTTGATTTAGTAGTTCCAAAAATTGTATTCTCGTTATTCGATACTTCCATACGTATATTTTGCTGCCGAAAAATGCTCGTGTTATGCGAAACAAGGGATAGTAGTTTTTCGCTTCGGCTATTCAATAATGTCAGATAAAAATGTTATTATTTCATTTTAGAATTAAATGAAAAATAATTAAATGACATTAAATGAAATTAATAATAATTTCATTTAAGAATTAAATGAAATAATAACAATGATATGATAGAAATCTTGTAAATTGGGGACTAGTGCGTTCGGTGGCCCCTTGAAATCGACATTTAAGCCATAAATGCTAGAAAAATCTAGATGAAATATTATCGGAGCATCTAGAAAGTGCATCGATTATGAAACGGTCTCGTAGGTAAGCTCTCAAATGAATCGAGAAGTTTTTATAAATTTTTACGGGAATTTCACGATAAAATCACAAAAAATTAATGTAAAAATTCTCTTGAAAAAAATTACATTCTGAATTAATCGCGAAATTACTAAAGATTTCTAGAATATTCCAGTCTTCTGGAACATGACTCCAGTCCTCTGGAGTTTTCCAGACGGTTCGCGAATTTTCCAGAGGATTCTGTACCGTTCTGGATCTTTCGTGAACTTTCTAGAATCCTCTATGAATTTCCGGAGAAACGGACATCTCAAATTCGAATCAAACAATTTCTTTTTTGGTGATTGTCAACTAGCGATTTTGTTGGCCCAAACAAGATTTGCTTGAGAACTTATTTATTTTTGTCTCAGTATTTGTGCGAAGAATAGAACATAAAATTGATTAAATCATTGATGAAACCATAACAGATTAGTTCATTGAGGGGAATTAGAACTATAGATGAAATAGTTCTGATAAAAAAACTCATCTGAACATCAGCTCCACTTACTGAGTAATTCTTTGAGAATTTCTTAGTTTAATGAAGATAACTGAATTTTCATGAAAATGATCTTTTATCGTTTTCTTTAACTTATTTAATTGATATTTTTCCATAGAGACTCCTCGGCTTGAATTTTCAAAATTCTTTCACTTGATTTTTCTAGTCAAGCAAGAATAAAATCTAGTGGAAAACCTGGAAAATTCATTCCGAGAAATGTCTATGAAAAACATTTCAGCAGAATAAATTGTCTAGAAATATAAAACATCATAAATTTTTGTTACAAAACATGTGTTATTAAACATTTCGAATGAAGAATAGAATCTGCAGAGAAGTGATGGATTTTTCAATAAAAGTTCAAAAGAAATTTTTAAAAAATTTCTAATAAAATCAATAATTGAAATATAATTGACTGATTTGTTCTACCTCTTCATCAATCAATTAATATTCACAATAAAAATTGCATTACTGTAGATACCTAGACCTGTTAAACTCCATAATACAGTTTCCGTCTCCTAGAAAATTGTCGACATTAACTCCCAATCGCAAATTATCCCCTAAATATCTCTCATGAAAAAATTGGTAAGAAGAATTGATTTTGTACTATTAATTCTGTTCATTTCGCTGTTTCTGGGGAGTTTAAAAAAATTAATAGAACCTGTCAGTCTCCACAGATAACTAAAAACATTGACAATGCAATAATAATGACTATGTAATGTATGTTAATGGACAGCGAGTAATGAATATTTAATACACACTGAATGTTGCCTTTTTCTTCACTTTACTTAACGAGTATGATTGTAGATTATTCAAATAATAAAATTGTAACTGATATGATGATAAAACAACTATGAATCATGTAGATAATGAGAATTCGTAAGCAAAATGTGCTGTGTTAATGTGACACATTATAATCCTACATTTCAGTGTAGGCTTTCAATAAATTAACTGGAGCCATGAATTCAATTTATTTATTTAATAGATCTTCATCACACCAACGTACAATAAGTCTTCTTAATCAATGTAATTGGACAAATACAGTTATACGAATGGAAAAATTTAACAGAAAAACCTCGAGAATTCGCTTGACAATTTTCTTGAATTTCTATTGATTTTCCTGTTAGTTTTTGGCCGATTGAAATGTTCAATGGAAAATATTCTACAGAAAAAGACAATAGCATTCCATTTTTCTGTACAACTTATTCTATTGAGACATTTTCCACAAAATTTTCTCGGCTCAAATTTTGTAACTTTTTTCAATTGATTTTTTTGATGAAAAAAAGGAACAATAGAATGAAAAAAGAATTGGAAAATTTGAGGCGAGAAAATTCAATAGAAAATATTTCAATAGAATAAGTGGTATAGAAAAATCGAATTCTATTGATTTTTTCTATAGAATATTTTCTATCGAACATTTTCAATAGGATCCGCCAAAAACTAATATAAAGATGAATAGAAATCCAATAGAATTATACAGCAAATTCTCCAGGTTTTTTTATTAAATTTTTTCGTCCGTGGAATCTTATAATTTAAAATCCGTAGCTGAGAATATTCACGTGGAATTCGTTAAATTCTTGATCGGATTTGAGCTATTCACAACTTTTTGGATAATTACTGTTGTACTTTGTGGGATGGGGACTACATCCACTGAGACTTTGGGAACGTGGAAGAAATATAACATGAAACCCGTGGCCAGCAGCAGATGCATACCGAGGATCACAGCAACGTAAATTGGTTTTTGTTTTCCTGGAAAACATTTTTTCAATTGGGTAACCTTGTCATTCAATACAAAATTTTATAATGAGTCTAGCCTTCACCATTTGCTAATCGTTAATTGTATATTCACTCATTTGGGGGATAATTGCATGAATAATAGCGATTTTTGGTAATTTTTAATACTTGCCTCACTGGAAAAATGAACAACCGCCGAACTACGGCGGAAGACGAACTCGAATTGGCGCCACAATTCTTGTCATTTTATTGACAATTTTTGGCGAAAATTTCAGATTTAAAACAAGTTAGGTTTTTGAGCAATTACCGATTGAAAAAAAACGTTTTCTCGTTTTTTCATGTTCTTTGAGTGGGTCGAAGGGGGATTTGATAGCTGAAACTCCGCTGAGATATTGGGGTCGATTTAAAACAAACAAAAATCATTGAAAAAACTGAAAATTTTCAAAAAATCATAACTCCCTCAATTATTGATATTTTTCTATTATTTTTTCAAAATTTGCGTCTAATAGCTATCTTTCCAGAAAAAAATTGAGACGAAAATCCCCCAGCATTGACTTTTTTCTGCTCATATAAGCATTGGTAAACAGATTGGATGTGTAATCATAAGTTTACAAAAAGAAGAGCAAAATAAAAAAAAGAGTAAAGATGGAGTTTTAAACGATTGAAAATTAGATGAGAATGATACAACATTAGGCAAAGCATTGATGTTCTAATGGCCTTAAGATTTTCGGGTGAGGTGTGCAGGAGAATTTATACCGAGATTGAACGTAGAAACTGCGTTTGTGACAAAGATCAAGAATAGGTCCAGCTTTTAAGGACAAACAAAATTAGTTGTCAGTTTATCAAATCTGTCACTAAGAAACTCTGCTATTTACTTTTATCCATCATTGAAAAAAACTAGAAATTTTGAAAAATCATAACTCCCTCAATTTTTGTTTTTTTAAATTAAAACTCCCTCAATTATTAATACTTTTCACTTTTTGAAATTATTGTCTAATAGTGATCTTTTCAGAAAAAAATTGAGACGAAAATCCCTAGTATCGATTTTTTTGGCAGACTGATTACGCGTGGATCTGCTCATATTGGTAAAGAGAGTGCACATGTAATCGTGAGTTTACTAAAAGAAGATAGAGAAAAATAAATAAAAAAAGAGAAAAGATGACGTTTTACATGATTGAGAATGAGACGAGAATAGTATAACATTAGGTGATGCATTGGTGAGAGAGGAGATACAGAATCTACGGGTTTATTGTTGAAGATGAGCTAGACCTTCCCGAGCGTCAGAGCCGAATGTCTCAGTTTGAATGATCTTGAGATTTTTGAGTAAGGTGTGCGGGGGATATTTGTAACGATATCGACCGTTGGGACTGCGTTTGTAGTAGAGATCGAGAATATGGTCCGGCTTATTAAGGATAATTGTCTGTCAGTTTGTCAAATCTGTCAGTAATAGATTCCACACTATTCATATGCAACGCTCATCGTTCCCCATAATTTTTAAAATCTCACCAGTAATTAAAGGCATCAGAGAGCGCAATAGCACTCCCCCAGAGAGAATGGCTGCAACACCAACGAGTATCCACTGGAGCCAGCCGATCTGGATTGTCCATAAAAAGGCCGTTGGAATGTAGATGGACAATGAATACCCATAAAGGCACAGAAGTTCCAGAAGTCCTGGAGGTTCATTTGACTGAAAAAAAGTCAATATGGAAAACTATGAATTATCATATCAAAATAGAACAGTGGGGAAAATGAAACAGTGAGAGAAAAACAATGAACAATTTTTTTGTTTGATTTTCTTGATGAAATCAAAAGAAAAATAGAGTGAAAAAAACTTTCTATTAGTTTTGGCCAATTCGGTTGAAATGTTCAATAGAAAAAGTTCTATAGAAAAACTACAGAACTCCATTTGTTCTATACAACTTATTCTATTGAGATATTTTCTGTAGAATCTCTTCGGCTCCAATTGTCCAAGTTTTCAATAGAAAACCTAGCAAATTCGCTAAAAAATTCTATTGGAATTCTATAAAAATTCTATGGGGTTTCTATAGAATTTCTATTGGAATTTGATTGAAAAATTCTATTAGTTTCTTGCGCTGATTCTGCTGGATATTCGATAAGAAAAAGTCAATAGACTTCGAATTTCTGTTTAAATTTTTCTCTTGAGATCTATTCTATAAGAATGCTTGGGCATCAATTTTCTTTTTCAAGTTTTTTCCACTCGGATTCTGTAATGCAAAACAAAACAAAATCCAGCAGAAAATACTTCAAAAATTTGTGGCCAATAATTCTAAGAGAAAAAATCTCAAGAGAAAAATTCGAACAGAAATTCAAAATATTTGACTTTTTTCCATACAGCAACATTTTTTCTATACAATTTATTCTATTGATATTTTCTATAGAATTTCCTCAGCTCAAATTTTCTAACTTTTTTTTTGCTTGATTTTCTTAATTCTTGGGGATTCTAAAAAACCCATAAAATTCCTATAGAATTCCACTAGAATCTTCGAGCCAATTCGCTAGGTTTCCTATCGAAAACTTGAACAATTGGAGCCGAAGATATTCTGTAGAAAATATCTCAATACAATAAGTTGTATAGAACAAATAGTTCTATAGTTTTTCTATAGAATATATTCCATTGAACATTTCAACAGAAGCAGCCAAAACTAATAGAAAGTTCAATAGAAAATATTCTACAGAAAAAGTCAATAGAACTCAATTTTTCTATACAACTTATTCTATTGAGATATTTTCTATAGAATTTCCTCGGCTCAAATTTTCTAACTTTCATTGTTTGATTTTCATGATTCTTTTGAATTCTATAAACCCCATGGAATTCCTGAAGAATTTCAATTAAATTTTCTAGCGAATTCGCTGTTTTCTATTGAATGTTGTCATATGTGATTGGATTTAACTCCTCGCAATCGCTGTTCCCCACAGCTCTCCACATGAATTACCTCAATTAATTCAGCATCTAGACTAGCATCATTGGGTTCATGTGTCCACTTGACAGCGGCCCAGAGTCCCAATGGCAGTAGCCACACATACAGACATATGCACGTGGCTGCATACGAGACGAAGTGAAACTCATATCTCCAGTGGTGTTGGCCAGTGTAAGAGGCTTGCAAGTAATTCGCTAGATTTCCACTGACAGCAATGGCAAATATCAGGGTGACACAGATCCAGAATGGCCCATACAGGTCGGGATTAGGTCGTATGTGGGATAATAAGTAATTATCTGGTCCATGTGGCACCATCGACTTCGTGATTCGATGGAGAACGTCATTCGTGTTGACATTGAAGAACTTCTGGTAATATTCCACTGTCCAAAAGCTCCTCGAGGTGCTGTTGGCTGATGATCATAACCAACAAATGATTCATAAAAATTATTATCATGATTGGTGGATTAAATTGAAGAATGCGATGTGAAAACGACACGAGAATTACCTTCTTTCTGCTGGGGAAGTCCACGCAACTCGTCCATCATTCCAATAGTCGTGGAATCATTGGAGAATTGTTGGTTATTGATGAACTGTTGGTGGTTGGGTGTGCCGAGGTCCAGTTGTGCCTGGCCACCAGCCCCTGGCCTATTTATCGGCGAGAAATCTTGGAACGATATGAATTGAGAATCAGTATTGCTCCTCCCGAATTGATCACTGTCCATGGTTATTCCCTTATTGTTGGAAATTGTCTTGTGTTTGCGAGTCGACCGTTTGACACGGATTATTTTGACAGCTAGCGCCACCGCGGCCACCGCAGCTGCGACGTTGACATAGATCCGATCAATTAGTCCCTCATGTATAGATATTCCTAATTTTTATTTTTTATTTTTATTTTTTTAATAAAAAACATTTGCTAGTTAGTACTTTTTTAAAAATAAATTTTCGGAAAATCTCCTCTGAAAAAAAAGGCGTTATCCCCTCTATTTCTTTATTTCCAAAAATTTTTATCACCAATCGATAGCAAATTGTTTGAAGATTTTTGCGAGTTAAGAAAAAATCGTCAATGCAATCTTATTGTTGTGTAAATTAACAATTCCAATTTCAACTGAAAAGCAGAGTTGATGACCAGAGTTTGTAACAGAGATGTCAGACAAGTTATGAATGTTTTTTTTGGCTCAACTGAAAGAGCGGCTCGAAAAATGGCGTGCAGAAGTCTTTAAAGATGACAAATGTCTCTAAAGATGATGTCTGTTTTCAA